TTTTTTTTTTCTTTCTTTATTCCTAGATGATGATGGTTTGTCAAATTTGTCATCACAATCTAGTGACTTGTTAAAGACAATTTAAAGTGGTTTTCAAATGTCACTTTGGCACCTTTTCTTAGTGCAAATATGCTTTTCATCCGAATATATTTCGTTTATCCTAAGATTGATTAATACGATTTTGCTGTAAATCAAAGAGAGCTCTGCAAATCAAAGAGATATGTTTATCAAAGCTTCGTTTTTTAACTGGGTTAAAAGTTAAAACTCTGTCTGCAGCCAGCAGAGTGTGAACATGTGAAAGTAACTCTCTTGAAAAAAAGTGACTAGACACGTTACCAAACACAAAGCGCCAAAAGGAGAAAAGAAAGTTTGACACAATCTCTTAAACTAATCGTTGTACCTTGCACGCGATGACCTCAACGAGATCCTTGATCATCATCATCTCTATCACTTTCGATATTCCTTTTTCTATGTTTAAAACGATTTCACTTTTCTCCCCATCTTGATTTCAAGAAAGATAGAAAAGAAAAATGGAGTATTTGTCATATTCTTCGATGAAACCCAGGCTGATTCAAGCTCGAGGCTTTCTAAACTCGCGTTTGTCGGAGTTTGAGCCTCTGGTTCTGCTCTTAGCCCCGCTTCTCACTCTCTTTCTCGCCCAGATTATCGGATCTGTCTTCGGCGTTGTTCACGAGAAAGGCCTGAAAGCATGTCTCGTTGGTTTTATCATGGGATTCCTCAAGTGAGAATCTTTTCAAATGCTTAATTTTCTTTGATCCCAATCTTTTTTCTGTTTGTTGGGTTTTTGATGTGTGAGACTAACGATTGTTGTGGAAAATGAAACAGAATGGTTCCTGGTGTTCAAAAGTACATAGATGCTGAGAAACAAAAGGTATGTTGTGTTTGAATCTACAGATTGTTCGTGTAATATGGCCATTTCAAAACAATTAAAGAAAAAGTGCCTGACAAGTCCATTTAATGCTTTTCTCTTCCTTTAAATGTTTTTAGTTTTGTTGTTGTTGTTGTTGTTGTAAATGTCTGCATCAGTAGTAAGGATTTAAATATTATCTGGCAGAGAAGCAGCAGAAAATATTGGTCCCATGGTTATTTGTAGCATTGAGATATGAGTTAAAGATCTCACTAAAGTCCTCAAGAATAGAAAATTACTTGGGATTTGAGACTGGAACTGTACTAGCTTCTTTTTTAAAAGTACATGTTTGTTTCTTGTATTAGTCGCCGACGTTTAATATCTCACTGTGTCTTCTTATGTATGGATAACTAGCATTGGTGCTACTGCTAACTAGTTTATGATTTTTTTTTCTTCAGGTTGTTGATCAGTTACAATCTGGTGGCAGTTCTAAGAAAAAGAACCGAGCTGAAGAGTTGCCAGTAAAAGGTCTAGGAGTTGAAGTTCTAGAGAAAATGGAGATTGAGAAGAGGAATGATGCTACTTGGCAAGGAAAATGCTCTGGCACTGTGTATGTTTGTGGTAGTTGATGCTTTATGTCCTCCAAATTTTCATTTGTGGTCATGGTGAAGATTTGTTTTAACTTCTACAACCATTCCTAACAGATACATTGGTGGAAGTGAGTCTGAAGGACATTTTGCATTGATAAATCAAGCTTGCTCAATGTAAGCTATATGACTTGTGCTTTTTCTGCTATTTCTTGTTTATGTGTAAACTGTAATTATGGATGATGTTTTTTAAGGTTTGCGCATACGAATCCATTGCACATAGACGTATTCCAGAGTGTGGTACGGTTTGAGTCAGAAGTAGTGGCAATGACTGCTGCGTTACTCGGGAGTAAAGAAACGGTTTCAGGAGGGAAAGTATGCGGAAACATGACGTCTGGAGGAACAGAGAGTATAGTGTTGGCTGTGAAGTCGTCTCGTGATTACATGAAGTACAAGAAGGGGATCAAACGGCCGGAAATGTATGTTTTCTACCCTCATTTTTACATTGATCAATTATGAAATATTGATGGAACAATATTTTATATTAAATAAGTGTAGGATTATAGCTGAATCGGGTCATTCGGCTTATGATAAGGCGGCTCAGTATTTTAACATCAAGTTGTGGCGTGTTCCGGTAGACAAAGACTTCCGAGCTGATGTGAAGGCAATGAGGCGGTATATTAACAGAAACACCATCATGGTAATGTTTTTGAGTTGCTCTTTATAATTGTATATGTTTAGACTCTTTATATGATGATATGTTCATGCAGCTTTAAAGTTAAGGCTTGTTCTATGTTTTTCCATGATCTTTTAAACCATCTTGTTTCAGATTGTTGGATCAGCACCAGGATTCCCTCATGGCATCATTGATCCTATTGAGGTTAACTGGTTTTTTTGTCTTCTGTCTCTTGTACTTTTTGAAGAGGACATTTATGAATGTGTAGGCCATATTGTTTATTTTTTTTGTTTCATTACAGGAGCTTGGTCAGCTGGCTCTTAGCTACGGAATATGCTTTCATGTTGACCTTTGCCTTGGTGGTTTTGTGTTACCTTTCGCTCGTAAACTTGGGTATGTGTAACTCTTCTTTTCAGGTTTTTGCCTTACATTGTACTATTTTAGATGACAAGATAAAAAAGAGTTATGAATTTTTGTTTTTCCTCACTTTACACAGGTACCAGATTCCAGCTTTTGATTTTACTGTACAAGGAATTACTTCAATTTCGGTTGATGTGCATAAATATGGTCTGGCTCCTAAAGGGACTAGCACAGTTCTCTACAGAAACCATGAGATCAGAAAGGTAACTTGTTTTTATCATTACCATGCAGATATGCATTGGATTTATACTCACCTCCTGTGTTCTGATTCTGATATGTCTGCTGTATCATGATTCATCTACACAAACCTTTTGAAAGTTCTATTCAGTTTTGTATGTATTTTACATAAATGATCTTTGCCTTACCTGACAAGTGGATTTTCTGCCTGCAAAAATATCTGCTTCAAACCTCTACAAAAACAGCACCAGTTTGTTGCTGGTAAGTGTGTTTTTAAGAAAACAGGGGAAATGAAAGTAGCAAGAAAACTGTTGAATTCTTGCAAAATCCTAACTTGGGTATGAAACATTTCTTGATGCAGTAACTGAATGGTCAGGAGGTCTATACGTGTCTCCAACTATAGCTGGGAGTAGGCCTGGTTCTTTGGTTGCTGGTGCTTGGGCTGCAATGATGTCTCTTGGCGAAGAAGGTTTCCACAATATTTTATATCACACTCTCTCTCAAGCCTTAAAGAGTGTGTTAAAGCCTCTAAACGGTATGCTTCTGTTGTTTCACAGGCTACCTAGAAAACACAAGAAAGATAATGGAAGCATCAAAGAGACTAGAAAAGGGGTTTGTATTGACTTTTTTCACTCTACATCATAATTCAATATGATCCTTATCGTTTCTGAGTCTTATATATGTGTTTGACTACACTAATCTACAGAGTAAGAGAAATCCGTGAAGTATATGTCATTGGAAAGCCAGACATGACAATCGTAGCGTTTGGCTCCAAGGAATTAGATATCTTCGAAGTTAATGACATCATGTCTTCAAAAGGTTGGCATCTGAATGCACTACAGAGACCCAACAGGTAATAACATCTTAAAGACCAAAAATTTTGTTTTAAAAACTAGTTTTAAGGCCACACAATGTTCTGAAACAATTCATGTCTGTGTTTTGGATCAGCATTCACATATGTATTACTCTTCAACACGTCCCCATTGTGGATGACTTCCTCCAAGACCTGCGTGAAGCTGTAGAAACTGTAAGTCCCTCTGATGTTCTTAGTGGCAGACTAGTCTTTTCATATTTCCTCAACTGATCTCTCGTTGTTATATGTTTTGGTCAGGTGAAAGCAAACCCAGGACCCATCACTGGAGGCTTGGCTCCAATATATGGAGCAGCTGGGAAGATGCCGGATCGAGGCATGGTGAATGAGCTTCTTGTTAGTTTCATGGACAGTCAATATTAAGTTTGCTTTTAAAGGTCAGAGCATCATCAAGACTTTGTGTACAATCACAACCACATTGTTTAATTTTCTTTACTAAAATATCATAATAAACAACTTAGTTTGTAACATTACACATTCACAAGAGAAAAAGATGATCAATCAGATTTGTGGTCAGATTCAGAAGGTCTTGGTCTAGGAACATGAACCGGCTTGTCCTCTTGGCTCTTCGCCAATACCTCGTCTCTTTCTCTAAAGTACTGTTGGAATGCTCGAGGTAGGAACCTAGGGATCAAGAAACAGAGTAGATTCACTCCAAAGTAGGCAAAATTTGCTACTGCCAAATACCTTCCAAACCAGAACCAAGCAGACACCTGCAAAACGTTTTCAAAGGTTTAACTTTCACCTTAGACGGTAAAAAATGAAACTTACTATCGACAAGACAAGAGGGGTATTAGCCGTTACATTGGGTGTAGCATTGACCGGTAAGGATTTGTTGAACCAAACATCTTTAGTCCAATCAATGATGACAAAGATTCTCCAGACTGTGTAGAGCAGTGGCACGAGAGCTCTTACCGGCGGCGAGAACAGAGAGAGCCCACTTATTATATTCTCTGTCAGGATCTGACACGACAGTAGAAACAAGTGTGGTGTTGCTGATCTTACCGCATGATCGTCTCCTCTTGCGAAACCACCTAACACGTAAGCTAGAGGCAAGAAGAGACCAATCGTTGTCCCCGAAACCACGTAAATCCTTGCATTATCAAGAAATTATAAGAAAGGTTAAGAATCTTTATCAAGAAAGTGAACAGAGATGTGTTTCTTTTTTCTTTCTTTCTGGCGATGGATTTGGAACCTGAAGAGTTTGCTGCCGTGGAAGACTTCAGGGGAAGTGGTGGTGACGCCGTGGGAAGGGAAAGCTAAACGCGAGAGGGCTATTATATAGAGAGACGCAAACGCTGGGAAGAGCATGTCGAGTATCGGTACGAGACCGCTCGCTGAGAAGACTAGTATGAACGCAACCAGCTGTAACTCTATTACCCTCAGTGATCCCATCAAGCCGCCACCTCCGGCTGCCGTCATCCCTGACCACGGTTTTTTCTCACCGGACGACGACGACGACGACGTGCTGTCCTTGTCGGTTCTTGGGCCCACCGCAAGAGACACGCCTGACATTATTTCTGTTCTTTTAATAGTTTTTTTTTTTCGTTTTCAAAGTTTCAAACGGATAAGTACTTGTAACAACGGAGACGCTGTAGAAGTAGAATTTATGAAGAGCGGATCTCTTGTTAACGTAGTTCCACGTGAAGCTTGGGTGATGTACACGTGTCCAAGTGAAGACGTGAGTGTTCATTGCCTGCCTTTCTACGTGTCATATGTTGCAATGTTAATTATATTGATTGTTAAAAAGATCGATTAAGAATAAATTAATCAAACCCGAAAAGAACAGTAAAAAAAGAATGAAAGCCGGTCATATATATGATCCTAATTAAGGGCAAAAAAGGGCAAGAATCAAGATTAAGATATTTTCAAAATGGATATGAACTATTTGAAAGTGATTTTCAGTTTTGTGCAAGTAAAAACAAAACACATGAAGAAACATCTAGTGGTGATTTATCTTTTGGAGTATACTACTCAACGGAATTGAACATATATTGATTATTTTTGCTTTTTTGGCTTCTCTATTTTTCTATTCTAATCAAACTACATAATTAAAGGAACAATGCATCATCCTTTAGTTTAGTTGGAAACCTTCAAGATTGAATTTGACAGCCTAAAGCTACTACTTACTTTACTGGGCGTACATTGTTCTGATTCTTCATTGTCTCCTTCCCTTGGATATCCGCCTGGTTGTAGAACAATAATATGTTCATAAAAACAATGAAAAAAAAAACAAAAAAAAAAACAAAAGAACACAAGTGCTTTAGGCAAATTTCTCTGCCTTTTCTTTTAACGTACGCTACGTTCCTACAAACTTGGAAAGATATTATGCATCATGGAAAACAGAAGGTGAATACATAGTTATATATGTCCTATCAAACTAGAGAGCAAGAGCAATCAGTTTAATTAATTATTTGCAAAACATTAGAAACTAATCAAGGAAATGGCTTTAACTTTGTACCGTGGGAGTTTCTTCAAATGTGTGGATTTAGGTTCTCCTCTTGTCAACAACGTGTGCCCACTATATTGCCCCTAGAGCCATCTTCAAAATAAAGATCACCAGACCGACAAGGTTAAACGAAATGTAAACCACAGCTACGGCCAAAGACACAGCCATAAGCTTCATCATCTTAAAAACGGCTCGGGCTCTGATGATCATGTACATGATCTCCATGGCTTCCTCTGTCTGGCCGCTCTCGCAACAAGCAGACGCAATCATAGCCACGTTTTGGATATCATACTTGTGTTCAAATAAGTCGCCAAAATACATCTCCTTGAAAACCTTTATTGCCCCATTGATATCGTTTAATTTCAACAAGGCACTAATTACTGATCGACATTCTTTGTCTTTAACGTCGACCTTGTACAGGTCCCATATACGGTAAACATCTTCACCCTTTCCTGCATCACCATACAACACCGTTAAAGACTCGTAAACTAGCTTCTTTGACGTGGGATCTACTAATTCCTTGGCTCTTCTCATCTTCTTTACTGCCTCCACAACTAAACCATGTTTCAGGCAAGCTTCTGCCATCTTGCAGCTCGTGCGCCAGTATAAAGTGAATATTGTATTGGCATCGTACTCTGCTAATAGCTTCTCCATTGTTTTGATATTGGATTCCGCTGCGTAAAGCTGAAGTTTTGAGTTTAGCGTGAGATTGTCTGGCTCTACATTGTTATCCTCCATTTCTTTCAGAATCTTGTGCACCATATCTCGCTTACATAGCTCATTGTAGCTTATCTAGCTGAATGTAGAGAGACATCATGTGGTTAAACGAAGCGGGTTTACAAAGGAACCCTAGCTCTTTCGTCTTCAAGAAGATGAACTCAGCTTTATCAAGATTTTTCTCAGATCTTGCATAGAAGCTTAAGATAGTTGCGTAGACAGAACTTCCCTGCTTGTTCTCGGCAATGCTTTCGAAGAACTTCTCTGCTTCTTCCAAACCTAGAGCGTTTCCAGTTAGGTTAAGACGAGCTGCGAAATCTTCTGGAATTAGGTCGAAAACTTTCTGCTCACTCATCCACTCTGATACCTATCACGACCAATATTTAAGACAGCAGATCGACTATACATATCCTGATGAATGTTACATTGAATTGAGAGAATCAAAATTGAAGAGGAACCTTGAGAGCTTGGAGAGATCGTTCAGAGTCGCGGAGGGTATCGACGATGCTCCTGAGATCAGAAGGATTCAATTGATTTCCCTGTTTCATCCATTTTTCAAGCACCGGGACGAATGAAGCCTTCCTGTGATTGCCGGCCTTGGCGATATGATGGTGCAGACTGTCATTAAGCTCCGGCGAAGATAGGGTTCCGGCAGATCGAAACAGATACCTCCTGAAAGATTGGATGGACCTTGCGGCATGGTTGAAGACTCGGCCTCATCATGCTTTAGGCGATAAATAATTAAAAACAACTTTTGAGATATTAGCTTAGCCTATTAGGGCTTTGACGTCATGAAAGAGAACCAGTCAGTAAAATTCATACCTACTAGACTATTAGGTATGAATATGATTTTATTTCTTCTATAGTTTGCTTGTCTTTCATGACGTCAAAGCCCTAATAGGCTTCTGAACTTGTCCACAACCACAACTACACATTCTTATACGAGTTGTCAAAACCTTTCACACATCCATTAAAGATCTATGCAGCATATACAAAGATAGATTGTGAAATCTCTTGTCAAAGCCTCCATTAAAATGCCGCATTGTTATGTTAGTGTTATACATAGTAGTCTTGCAGAAATATATTACTATTTGCATAAGAATGAGTCTAATCAATCGTAATTATTCTTGGGATGCTTGAGAAGTTTTGGAGAATGTTTGGTCTCTCCGTCAACATATTCAAGACAAGTCTCTTTCACTATCTTTTTACCCTTGAATAGTTGCAGTTGATAGATATTGCTGCATGCCTTGGACAGTTAGACCAACAGTGTTTCCAGTGAAGTGTCTCGGTATACCCCTTAAGCTCCAAGAAGCTTTTGGAGCGCTGCTTAAAAAAAAAATATATTATTCTTATGAGAAGTTTTTGGGTATATTACCCTATACTTCAAATAAAGTTATGGATAGCATGCCCTTGAAATTCTTGTAGAAAGACAATCGTTGAGGCTCTGCAGGAGGAATATGTATGGTAGGAAAAAAGAGAGGCTATTTCCTTGACTGAAGTCACCGTTCTGAGACTTCTTTTAGACCTAACTCTCTATGTGTAGCAATATCGGTCACACATAGCAGATTACAAAAGAAAGACTTGTGGAACATTACCAAACGAAAAAGAAAAAAAGACTTGTGGAACATCTAACTCGTCTCTAGTGGAAAAATAGTAAAAATTATGCGGCAGTTAAGTAAGGAATCCAAAACTAAAAACAAATTCATTATTTCGATGAAAATCTATATAACCAACCCACTCTCTACTTGGTTTTCTTCTCAATCCCCACCACCACTACACCCACCAGAACCACCACCACCACCACACCCACCACCACTACCACCGCCACCACCAGCACTACCACCGTCACCAGCACCAGCACCAGCACTACCACAGCCACCACCACCACCACCACTACCACCGTCACCACCACCACCAGCTTCACCACCACCGTCATCACCACCAGCTTCACCACCATCGCTACCGCCACCGCCATAGCTATAGCCATCGCCACAGCCACCATAATAGTAATATCCCGGAAGGAGGTAAGACCCCCCTTCACCACCTCCTTTGCTTCCATATGCTCTTAATATTTTTCTCTTTCTTCCATTCGTATGGATGAGCTTATGAAGAGGCGCATCGTCTTGTTTTTCATCGGCATGCATCTCCATTAACAACTTGTCCACTGACTCTCTCAACTTACCATCATCAGCTAGTTCGGTTCTTTTAAGAATCTCTATCGCCTTATAACTGGAACCAGCTTTTAAGTACGCCTTTGCCATGATTTTTCCCGTTTGCTTCGCTAACACGAATCGCGGATCTTCGCCTTCTATTCCATTCAAGAACTTCTCCATTGCCTCCACATTATCAGGTATACTAGCGTAAGCACTCAAAACGTTATTGGCCGTGAGAATCCTGTCATGTTCTACTCCGTTCTCCTTCATCTGCCTCGAAATCTCGTCGACCATGTTTCTTTCTCCAAGAAGGCCGTAGAGAGATATCATAAGGTAGTAAGGGTTAGGTTTCGTGAGAAGATTTAGCTCCCTCATCTTCTGGTAAATGGCTTCCGCCTCGTGCCTTGTTTCCTTGGATTTTGTGTAAAGGCTTAAGAGAGTTGTGTAGACCGAGTCTTCCTTCATGTTCTCGGGAATGCTTTTGAAGAACTTTTCTACTTCTGTCAATCCTGATTGGATCTCAACAAGATAAAGTCGAGCTGAATAATCTTCAGGGCTTGGATCGAAAACCCTTCGTTGAGTTATCCACTCTGATACCTAATACATCGCATTTACAAGATTTATTGGGACTTGATATCAGAAGCAGAAAAAGAGAAAAAGGAGAGTTGGGAAAGAGGAGAAGAGAAAGATAGTTGAGACCTGAAGGGCGTGAGTGAATCGCTGAGACTCGCAGAGGGCATTGATGACGCCTCTTAGATCCGTAGGGTTTATTTTTCTGCCTTGTTTGACCCATTCGTCAAGCACAGGAGTAACCTTAACCCTCCATAGTCTCCTTTCTTTCGTGGCCATGATCCATCTATGTAAAGTGTCATTCAGATGCGGCGAGGTTTGGGTCCCGAAGAATCGAATCGGCTGTGTTTTCCTGAACAAGAGAAAATTTCCTGCGTATCGCCCAAGGCGTTGCATTATTCCTCTAAACTATCAAGTCGGTATATTCTCAGAGATGTTAGGGTGTTTGATTCATTCGGCCTTTCTCTAGGGCAAGTGCAGCGGACATCCTCAGATGAGTATCTCTAAAAATAATAAAAAAAAAAAATTAATTTTCGAAAAAGTTGTGCTTCTTTGAAAAAAAAAAAAAAAAAAAAAAAATCGACTAATCGCGTAGCGGACGTGGCAAGCTTAGCTTCAGAGACGATTCCAAAACTCTTTCCACAGAGACGGTTCTGAGAAAAAGTTTAAGCTACATCATTATTTTTTAATTTTTTATTTTCTTGTTCTCCTAAAGAACTGTGCAGAAGCTCTCCGCTGCATTTGCTCTAAGCTACTCAAACGCTAATAATTATAATTAATTAGGTTTAAAATTATTTTCTCTGTGAGGGTGGAGTTTAGTCGTTCAAAAAATCGTTAGACGTTATTTTATTTTTATTTTATTTTGTCAACAAAAAAATCGTTAGGTGTTAAACAGGGTTCGGGATTTCTGATTTTTTAAACATAAAATAGAGATTATTCGGGGATATTTTTCTATTACATTTTTCTAAGTTATTAAACATTTTTTTATCTATAAGATTAAAATCATATATTTCAAAATAGGTTAAATATTTTTCAAGACAAAAAAAAAATATTAGAACTGATTGTGTGGTTGATTAATCGACATTCGAAGTTAGTGTTTGTGTTTGGGTTTATGAATCTCCAAATTGATTTTTTTTTCTCTCATGTAAATATGTAATTGCAGTCTTGTTTTAGGCTAAAACAAAATTAAACATAATGAATTTTCCTTAAATGACCCAAATTTTTAAAATAATTTGTAATTGGGCCAAGGAAGAATTCAGAAATCAAATATTAGGCTTATCTAATTTTTAAAATTTCAAGGGATTTCTTTTTATTAACGGACTACTGTTTGACCAAACAGTGACATCGATTTTAGGAAATCGCCACGGTTCCAACCAAAATCTGATTTTTTGGGCGATTAGTGGATAAATTGGCGTTTTTTTTAACACAGAGTTTAGTTAATAAATTTTATATTAAAAAAAATCATAAATATAGTGACCGATAGAATGGTTTCAACTTTCAACAAAAGTAAAATATGAACCGATAGAATTCTCCATCAAAGTTTGGATCGGCGTTAGGACTAATTGCTTTCAGGTAAAAAAATTAGACGTCTGCAATCTGCTGTTATCGACCAGTTAGATTATCGACCAGTCGATCTACCTCTTTGAAAAATGTTATCTAACTCGTCACTGTGATTTTTTTGTGTGTGTCACAGTGTGTCTGGTGTTATTGTGTAAATGTTCGTAGCCACTAGCCACAATATAGTTATATATAGTCTCTACCGTATATAGTTAAAGTTGTGGTCCATAAAATACTAAAAATAGAAAGACAACTTGGCCTAAAGGTCAAGCATAGGTTTCATGTGTTGTAAGAGACGGGTCTGGCATTAACTGTGAGTTCTCATATATAGTTTGAACAATAGTTAGATTACAGCTAGCCATTAACACTTGACACCAAATCTATAATACAAAAGTTGTTCAACTCTCTACAGTTGCTTGTCACGTCTGGAGAAGATGACACTTTCATGTTTACCACTTTCATATTTTTCCGCCAACTGACATGTTACCACTTGTTTACCACTTTCACCTTAGAATGAGAGAGTTATTTACATATTTATCAGTTTGGCCGGGGAGACGAGAGTTCTACACTTTATTAGGAATTTTTTTTGGATATGTACTTTATTTGGGGCAAGAATCATTCTCTTATTTTGGAAATCTGTTCCGTCTTTCTATTTTTCTTATAACAAATGAGGTCATATGACACTCCTGGTTGGTACAACACAACAATGGAGTTTACAAACTGGGTATTTGACAACATATTGGTTAAGGTAATGGATGTTTTAGATGATAATAAAAGTGATGGCATAAGGGGAAATGAATTATCGGCTTAAAGCAACGAGCATACATGGGTCACCGGACTTGTAGTGTTCCTTTCATTGCTTGGTAATCGTTTCTTCTAAAGAGAAGTTCTAACACCGTCGAATACACAAATAAGCATGCACTTCTACATGTGGTAAGCCACTCAAGGCTTATGTACGCAGAACAAGATATAAGATCAAGAGAAAACATGAAAAGATCGAGCTGAAGAATTTGAACTTAGTTCTAGATTTGGTTAAATGAGCTGTAACAAACAACTGTATACGATTACTTTTAAGCTGTGTTCGAAAACTCGGACGCGGCGGCCGAGTAAACGGCGGGCAGGCGCTCCTCGGTGGCTAACCGAGGCGAATTTGGCATATGCGGCCAAAAACTCGGAAATATCGAATTTCTCAACTTTTTGTGGGTTTTGAAAGTTTAGATCGAGTTCTGGGTTGTAGAGTATAAAACGCATGAAAAATAGGCAAAACGGACAAGATTCGTGAAAAAGAAAACAGGCCGGCGGCTTCTAACGTCGCAGAAAAAGGAAGAAGACGGGGGTACTTTCGTATTTTTATATTTCACTAAACGAAAATTGAGAAAATAACGAAAATAGTTATATGGGGGTTCGATCCCGTGACTCGCCAACCAGTAAGGAGTAGGACATGGAGAAACCACTGGACTAACGCATTTCAACGTATTACGTATCAAGTATTTTATATATATCTATAACTACAGATAAAATGATGAAAAATTACTCTCCGAATACTCCCGTTTAATTTTCCGTTTAATTGACTAGGCGCTAGAAGGTCACTCACCGCCCTGGTACCGCCTAGCGTACTTTAGAACACAGCTTTTAAGTAGAGAGTAGATACTACATATACACATAAGTCAGTGAAAAAAGGTATCACATATATTGTACAAGTTGTCAAAGGGAGAGACTTCTTTTTGGGCAAATGAAACTAGAGTTGTAAAACATTTTTTTTTTTTAACATACTCAAAAATTTGTGGTGAGTTTTTAAGATCTAATTAAAGAAAAGAATGGAACATGACATGAGATAAGAGTTTGGGAGTTCTTAGTAAAAAAAAAAAAACAAACAGAACATGCTATAAGTTTGGGAGTTTTTAGTAAAAAAACAAACAAAACATGCAATAAGAGCTGAACATGGGATTGACCAATTGTGGAAATGTTTGTAGCCACTAAAGTTAAAGGTGTGGTCCATAAAATAGAAAGTTACCTAATTGGCCTAAAGGTCAAGCATAGATTTCATGTGCCTTAAGCGTCGTGTCTCTGCGCATTAAGTGTGAGTTCTCAACTTCTCATAAGTATATAGTTTGAACAATGGTTAGATTACGGTTACCTATTAACTCTTTACATTAAATACAGTAACCGAAAGAGATGGCTCTTCTTCTTTTCTTTCTTTCCTTTTAATTCCCATTTAACCCTCAATATTCTTACTTTTCCCCACAAACAAGAACCACAACACTAATAAAACCCTCTCTGTGATCATCTACAATCTCAAGTACCTATCTCTCCCTCTCTTTTTTCCATTCTCTGTGTTCAGAGACAATGGTTAACATAGAGCCATCCTCTAGTGGAAAGAAAGAGGAGAAGAAAAAGATGAAGAAGGAATCAGTGTCGTTGATGGGTTTGTTTAGCGCAGCTGATAAAGTTGATTACTTTTTGATGTTCATAGGCAGTTTAGGAACGTGTATTCATGGCGGTACGCTTCCGCTCTTCTTCGTGTTCTTTGGGGGACTGCTAGATTCTCTTGGCAATCTTTCTTCAGATCCTAATGCCATATCTTCCCGCGTTTCACAGGTTTCCAAGAAACCGCTATCAATGAAAGTTACTATATATAGTATTTTTTTCTTGATTCTTGTTCTTTAATATAACGTTATTTGTCTTTTACAGAATGCTCTGTATTTGGTTTACTTAGGATTGGTAAATTTGGTATCAGCCTGGATTGGTACGTTACACCGATTGATATGCTATCAAGCTTTAGCATTTCTCTTCCATGTTATCAGATTGGAATGATTTTACTGGCTGCAGGAGTTGCTTGTTGGATGCAAACAGGGGAAAGACAAACAGCACGACTCCGTGTAGATTATCTCAAGTCGATCTTAGCAAAAGACATTACTTTCTTTGACACAGAAGCTAGAGATTCAAATTTCATTTTCCACATCTCAAGTGACGCCATCTTGGTTCAAGATGCGATTGGCGACAAGGTAACTTTCGAATCCCTAATATATCACTTAACCAATAAAAATGTGACACATCAGAAAAAACATATTTAAAAAAAATTACTCCTCATATTTTTGCTAAAAAAAAACAACTGCTAAAAATCCTGTTACACGTTTAATCTAATCCCTTAACTTACTTCTTCTCTTCCGTATATATATAGCACTTGAAAATTGTTGGTTTCAAATGTTTAATTACAACAAGAAAATACAGTATTTAATTATTTTGTCCCGTTAGTATGGGGGTTATACTAGTCCATTAACTAATTCTAAGGACGAAACAAAAAATGCATGTAAGTGATGTTTTGTGTTCTTTCAGACAGGCCATGTTTTGCGGTACCTATGTCAGTTCATTGCCGGATTTGTCATCGGTTTTCTTTCCGTATGGCAACTGACGCTGCTCACATTAGCAGTGGTTCCATTGATAGCAATTGCAGGAGGAGGGTATGCAATAGTCATGTCCACTATCTCAGAGAAAAGTGAAGCAGCTTATGCTGATGCTGGAAAAGTCGCTGAAGAGGTTTGTTTATACACTAAGGCTAAAACTGTTTAAGAACAAATTTTTGCTTTTACTTGGGAAACAAGTTTGTCTATACATTTTTTCAGTTTTTTTTTTTTTTTTTTTTTTTTTTTTTTTTTTTTTGCAAATTGTAAAGACAAACGCCTTTCGCTTTCGTTTTGTGTGTGTTTTACATTCACCACCACGTAAGCGCAAAATCAAAATCAAACGAACAATAAATTAAAACCTAAAATATCTTCATTTTGTTCAATTCTTTAACACCTGGAGTTATCCTAGAAAACATAATTCTTTAGTGGGCCTCTTCTTTATTGGCTTTCAGGTTGTGTCACAAGTGAGAACAGTATATGCATTTGTAGGAGAAGAGAAAGCTGTAAATTCTTACTCAAATTCTCTAAAGAAAGCTTTGAAACTGAGTAAGAGGAGTGGTCTTGCTAAAGGGTTAGGAGTTGGATTAACATATAGCCTCTTGTTCTGTGCATGGGCATTTCTTATGTGGTATGCAAGTCTTCTTGTACGCCACGGCAAAACCAACGGTGCAAAAGCCTTCACTACTATCCTCAATGTCATTTACAGCGGATTGTAAGTTCGAAAAAACTCGAGACCTTTTTGCTTTATATATCATCAAACTGCATAATATAAGTCCTTTTGTTGCATTTGCAGTGCATTAGGTCAAGCCGCTCCTAGCTTATCTGCTATAACCAAAGGTAGAGTTGCTGCTGCAAATATATTCAGAATGATAGGGAACAACAATCTTGAAACTTCTGAAAGATTAGATGGTGGGACAACATTGCAAAGCGTAGCTGGGGGGATTGAGTTTCAACGAGTGTCTTTCGCATATCCTTCAAGACCAAACATCGTTTTCGAGAATCTTAGCTTCACAGTACGTTCAGGCAAGACATTTGCATTTGTCGGTCCAAGTGGTTCAGGGAAAAGCACAATCATATCAATGGTTCAACGTTTCTATGAGCCCAAGTCAGGGGAGATTCTCTTGGATGGGAATGACATTAAGAGCCTGAAACTGAAATGGTTGAGAGAACAGATGGGACTAGTGAGTCAAGAACCTGCATTATTCGCCACAACCATAGCTTCCAACATTCTTCTTGGTAAAGAGAATGCGAATATGGATCAGGTCATAGAAGCTGCTAAAGCAGCCAATGCAGATTCTTTCATTAAATCATTACCAAATGGTTACAATACTCAGGTAAACTATTTGAATTTTCATAATCACATTTAACTTCTCAATAATTTCCACTTTCTTATTGGTCAATCCACCATTATAATTAGGTTGGAGAAGGAGGAACTCAGCTCTCTGGAGGACAGAAACAGAGGATTGCTATTGCTAGAGCGGTTCTAAGGAATCCAAAGATATTACTGTTAGATGAAGCAACGAGCGCTCTTGATGCAGAATCAGAGAAGATTGTTCAGCAAGCACTTGACAATGTCATGGAACAAAGAACAACAATCGTCGTTGCACACAGACTATCCACCATCCGAAACGTTGACAAGATTGTTGTGTTGAGAAATGGTCAGGTTATGGAAACCGGTAGCCACTCAGAACTGATATCAAAAGGAGGAGATTACGCAAATCTTGTGAATTGCCAAGAGACAGAACCTCAGTCAATTATGTTGGAATCTTCTAAATCTCAAAACGGATCTTACAGTTCAAGAAGAGTTTTTAGTTCAAGGAGGACTTCAAGCTTTAGAGAAGACCAAGAAAAGACTGTACAAGATTCAAATGACGAATGTTTAAGCTCATCTTCGATGATATGGGAACTAATAAAGCTGAATGCTCCAGAGTGGCCATATGCATTTCTTGGCTCAGTTGGTGCAATTCTTGCTGGAGCACAACCGGCACTGTTCTCCATGGGGATTGCTTATGTGTTAACAGTGTTTTATTCGCCTTTCCCTGATGTGATCAAGCGTGAAGTCGAAAAGGTAGCCCTTGTCTTTGTTGGAATTGCAATTGTAACAGCTCCTATATATCTCCTCCAGCATTACTTCTATACACTTATGGGAGAGCGTCTTACTTCTCGGGTTCGCTTATCCTTGTTCTCAGGTAAACACAAGCAACTTACACATCTTTATTTTGTGATTGATTCATTTCTTGAATGTGTATATATCTTTCTTTTCATCAATTGCAGCAATTCTTTCGAATGAGATTGGGTGGTTTGATTTTGAAGAGAACAACACTGGCTCGCTCACTTCAATCTTGGCTGCTGATGCAACTTTGGTGAGGAGTGCTTTAGCGGATCGTCTCTCCACAATAGTCCAAAACTTGTCTCTTACAGTCACAGCATTAGCACTTGCCTTTATCTACAGTTGGCGTGTCGCAGCTGTGGTAACTGCTTGTTTTCCTCTTCTCATTGCTGCTTCACTTACCGAGGTAACGTGTAATAAAAAGATCTTCTAAACCATATCCTAAATCTTGAAACTGAAAAAGATTGAAAATGTTATATGTCACAGCAACTGTTTCTAAAAGGCTTTGGAGGTGATTACACAAGGGCTTACTCTAGAGCAACTTCAGTGGCGCGTGAAGCGATTGTGAATATAAGGACCGTCGCTGCGTTTGGTGCTGAAAAGCAAATCTCCGAACAGTTTACTTGTGAGCTAAGCAAACCCACCAAGAGTGCCTTTCTCAGAGGTCATATCTCTGGATTTGGTTACGGTTTGTCGCAATGTCTCGCGTTCTTTTCCTACGCTCTTGGTCTCTGGTACATCTCGGTTTTGATTAAGCGCAATGAGACTAACTTTGCTGATAGTATCAAATCTTTCATGGTGTTGCTCGTCACGGCTTACTCGGTAGCGGAAACGCTTGCTTTGACCCCAGATATCGTGAAGGGCACGCAAGCACTCGGGTCAGTTTTTAGGGTTTTAGATAGAGAGACTGAGATACCTTCCGACCAGCCTAACTCAAGAATGGTCACTACGATCAAAGGAGATATAGAGTTTAGAAACGTGAGCTTTGCGTATCCGGCGAGACCTGATATAGCGATTTTCGAAAACCTAAACCTCCGAGTTTCAGCTGGGAAAAGTCTTGCGGTCGTGGGACCTAGTGGTTCGGGAAAGAGCACGGTGATCGGACTGATTATGAGATTCTACGATACGGAAAACGGTACTCTCTGCATTGATGGGCAGGATATAAAAACCCTAAACCTACGTAGCTTGCGCAAGAAGCTAGCGTTAGTCCAGCAAGAACCAGCTCTGTTTTCAACAACCATACACGAGAACATCAAGTACGGAAACGAGAACGCGTCGGAGGCAGAGATCATCGAAGCCGCCAAAGCCACGAACGCGCACGAGTTCATAAGCAAGATGGGAGAAGGGTACAAGACGCACGTGGGTGATAAGGGAGTGCAGTTATCAGGTGGTCAGAAACAGAGAGTGGCTATCGCGAGGGCGGTGTTGAAAGATCCTTCAGTGCTTCTCCTTGACGAAGCAACGAGTGCTTTGGACACGAGCTCGGAGAAACTGGTCCAAGAGGCGCTAGACAAGCTGATGAAGGGACGAACGACTGTGTTGGTGGCTCATAGGCTCTCGACCATAAGAAAAGCAGACACCATCGCTGTCTTGCACAATGGAAGAGTTGTCGAAAAAGGAAGTCATAGAGAGCTTGTTTCCAAACCTGATGGGTTTTATAAACAGTTAACGAGTCTTCAACAAGTAGTGTAATTTTATTTTCTCTATATACATTATTTTCCATTTATGAGCAGAACACCATAGCCACTAAATGAAAAACCTGTGTCTTTTATCTATTGTGTATAATCAAGAGTAATAGAAGCCATGGGCGTTTTCCGTAACATGTTACGACTAATAAACAGAAGATGGCCCCACCAATAGCAACACGTTTCACGAGTTTGAATGCAAAAGCCTTCAATATCCTGAAATGCATCCCAATCCTCTTCATTTTAATCGACTGCACCAATTCCCAAACTTTCAACCCATTCTCTTGTGCGTAAAACCGAGAAATCAGCAAACCCGGTATGCTCAAATCTACCCTCGGTCCGTGCGGTTTCCACTCTCCGTATACCTTCTCTGCTCCTTGTACATCGTCCAGCTTCAACAAAGAGCTAATCACACTTCGACATACTTCGTCGACATCCACCTTTTTAGTAGTGCCCCAGAAATCATCTTCCACTATTTCTTCGTTCTTGCATTCGTTCCAAATACGATACACTTCTCTTTTACTCCCTGCCGCGTTACCATACATCTCTATGGCCTTTGTTTTCAAACCGGCCTTAGTGTAAGCCTTTGCCATTGCAACCATCGTGCCTCTTTCCAGTTTGATTCCATCTTCTTTACCCCAAAGTCTCATAAACTTCTCCATTGCTTCAACTTTTGGTTCATCAGCGTATACTCTCAAAACCTTGTTCACCGTTACACTATCAAGATTCACGTTGTTCTCTTCCATCTCACAAAGAACCTTCTCGACCATTTCCTTGCTGTTGAGACTTCTCGACCATACAGTTATCATCGAGTTGAATGGTGAAGGTTTCAAGAGAAACCCTAGCTCTCTCATCTTACTGAAAGTGGCCATAACCTACGGTTTGGTTGGATTTTGCGTAAGAGCTTAAGAGAGTATCGTAGACATAGTAGTCCTTCATGTTCTCAGGGATGTTTTCAAAGAACTTCTCTGCTTCTTCCAAACCCAACACATGATCGATCAGATGAAGTCTAGCTGCATAATCTTCCGAATAAAGATTACAAACCCTTTCTTCACCCATCCACTCAGAAACCTAACAATTTTGAAATGGATCTTACATCAAGAAGTGAAAAATAACATATATACTAAAGTCATGTTTCTTTACAAAGTAACAAACCTGAAGGGCTTTGGAAAACTGATTGGAATCTTGAAGATTCTTGATGAGGCATTTGAGATCAGATTGTTCCATTCTACTTCCCCATTGCTTCAAAATCGGCGTGATCGGTTTCATCATTCTTTTGTTCTTGATGGTTCTATTGTTCATGAGCTTCTCAGCCTGATCTATCATTCCCCTCTCTCGATAACCATTGGCCAACAAAGTCGGGATTCGGATATCAAACTCAAGAGGCAAAGATTCCCACTCTTTATAAATCTCTTCTGCTTCAGCGAGTCCGTGTAGCTTCAAGAGAGAGCAAATCACATTCAGATATCCATTGTTATCACATTGCTCTATCTTCTTCTTGTAAAGGTTCCATATACGCAAAACCTCTTCTTTCTCTCCAGCTTCACCATACAGATTCAAGAGAATCTTGTACGCAGACTTTAGCGACTTGGGATCAACCGATTCCTCCGCTAAACGCAGCATTTTTTTAGCCTTTTCTCTTGAACCGGCTCGCAAGTAAGCCTTTGCCATGTCAAGAGCCGTGAGCCACTCAATCTTGATGCCAGGAACCGCTTTCCACTCATTCAGAAACTTCTCCATCGCCGTCACGTCATACAAATCCAAGTATAGCTTCAACACGTGGTTCACAGTGACACTATCGGCCTCCACGTGGTTATCTTGCATCTCACGCAACAGCTCCTCAGCTTTGTCTCGATATTTTAGGGTAGTGTAGAGAGACATCATGGCGTTGTAAGGAGAAGGTCTGGAGAGAAGACCTAACTCCCTCATCTTCTTGAACGTAGCTTCCGCTTTACGAAGAGTTTTGTCTGATCTTGCGTAAGAGTTTAAGAGAGTGGTGTAGACAGAATCGTCTTTTGCACTCTCTGGAATGCTTTCGAAAATTTTCTCTGCTTCTTCTAACCCCACAACGTTCTCTATCAGATGAAGCCGAGCTGCGAAATCTTCTGGAATTAGATTGCATATCTTCTCTTTACTCATCCACTCTGAGACCTAATAACATCACCACAAGACATCAGTTCTGTTACATAATCGCTAATTACATAAATTGGGAAACGAATTGGAGAAGACCGGGAGAAGATGAAACCTGAAGGGCTTGGAGAGAGTGCTCGGAATCACGAAGGTGTTTGATGATGACTCTGACCTGCGAAGGGTTCACTTGATTTCCCTGTTGCCGCCATTGTTGTAGCACCGGAATGATTTGTGCATTCCGATCAATAGCCTCTGCGATACGATGCTGCAGAGTTTGGTTCGCCGCCGTGTGGAGTGATACCGTTCTTGAGGAGCGAATCCCGTAACGTGTTGCGTGTCGTAGAAGAATTCTAATCATGGTTTCAAGCTGGACGGAGAAGATGAGAAGCTAGGGTTTGTTGTGTAAATATTTGGTTTTTGTGGAGCGTTTCTTTTGGATTAAATTATTTCAGTCATTAAATTTATTATTCTTCCTCGTTTTGGGGCTTGTGGAGCACGTTTTGACTCGTAAAAATCTTGTTTTCCATGTATGTGTATGTATCATATAAACAAAAAAATGTTCAAGATTAAAAATCAATAAAGGTTTTTAATAAGATTTTTAAAAATAGAAAATTGACTTAAAGTCTGCACCGCCTTTCTCATTATCGGAGCCTATAAATACGCTTATTTTCTAGGGCTCTTTATATTCTTCATAACTTGTCGATTCTCATAGGTCTCTCTATCAAATCCCGGTGAAATCGGAGTCGATAGTCTCTGGAATCTTCGGGAAAAAAATCTAATTGAAGAAGGATGGACTGCGTCAAGGTCATTGGGTTGGAAGAAGGATGGTCTCATATGGAGGTCGGAGTTGCAAAGGTCACAAGGATTCTTGAGGGATTGAAGGAGCCACCTGTTGAATCTGAATCTTATATCCATCTCTATACGACTATCTACAACATGTGCACACAGAAACCTCCTAACGACTACTCTCGGGAGCTTTATGATAGGTATCGTCAAGTGTGTGAAGATTATCTTACTCAAAGGGCGTTGCCCTGTTTAAGGGAGAAGCATTCTGTGTTTCTGCTGAGGGAGCTTGTTCTGAGGTGGTCTAATCATAAAGTCATGGTGAGATGGTTATCCCGATTCTTCCAATACCTCGACCGTTGCTTCACTACTCGGATATCAGTTGCACCACTGAGAGAAGTTGGCATGACATGCTTCCGCGACCTGGTTTATGAGGAGTTGCATTCCAGGGCCACGGACGTTGTGATAGAGCTGATTAACGAGGAACGCGAGGGCGGACAGATTGACAGGGCGCTATTGAAGAACGTGTTGGATATCTACGTTGAGGCTGGGAAGGACCAATACAAGAATGATTTCGAGACGTTGATGCTTAAAGACTCCACATCTTACTACTCTCGCAAGGCCGCAAGCTGGATTCAAGAGGACTCTTGCCCTGAATACATGCAAAAGGCTGAGGAGTGTCTGAGGAAGGAGAAGGAGAGAGTCGCTCACTACCTCCATTCAACCACTGAGGCAGGACTAGTTGAAATTGTACAAAGACAATTGTTGGTTGCGGTTGCGAAACAGCTTCTGGACAAAGAGCACTCTGGGTGCCGTGCATTGTCAAGAGATGACAAGGTGGATGATCTCTCCAGGATGTACAGGCTTTTTCAACCAATTGCCAAAGGGTTGGAGCCTGTTGCTGACGTCTTCAAGCAGCATATTACAGCAGAGGGGAATGCCCTTATCAAACAAGCCGAAGACGCAGCTACTAGTGGTGGCGTGCAGGATCAGCTTCTTGTCACACAAATAATGGAGCTACACGATAAGTACATGGCCCATGTCATGGGCTCTTTCCAGAGCCACACCCTCTTCCATAAGGCATTGAAAGAGGCATTTGAAGTCTTGTGTAACAAGAACGTGGCTGGAAGTTCCAGTGCAGAATTACTTGCAACCTTTTGCGATAATCTCCTCAAGAAGGGAGGGATTGAGAAGCTGGGTGAAGAGGCTGTTGAACATACGCTTGAGAATGTAGTCAAGTTGCTTGCTTATATAAGAGACAAGGATCTGTTTGCCGAGTTTTACAGGGAGAAGCAAGCTCGTAGGCTCTTGTTTGATCGGAGTGGTGGTGAAGAGCATGAGAGTTGTATACTTACAAAGCTCAAACAGCAACTCGGTGGCCACTTTACTTCTAAGATGGAGGGCATGGTGACGGATATGACTTTGGCAAAAGATCAGCAGCTGTGCTTCGAGGCGTATTTAAACACATGCGTTGCCACAAAACCGGGGATTGATATGACCGTGACTGTTCTCACCACTGGTTTTTGGCCAAGCTACAAAACGTCTGACCTCAATCTACCCAGTGAAATGATCGAGTGTATTCAGGTCTTCAAGGCATATTACGAACTGAGAACCAGTCACAGGAGACTTATGTGGATTTATTCTCTGGGAACTTGTCATGTCCTTGGAAGGTTTAGTGCAAGACCAGTCGAGTTAATCGTTTCCACCTACCAGGCTGCTGTGCTTTTGCTTTTCAACAACACTGAAAGATTAACATACCATGAGATAGTTGAACAACTCAACCTTAGCCACGAAGATGTTGTCAGGCTGCTTCATTCCCTGTCATGCGCAAAGTACAAGATTCTTAAAAAGGAACCAATGTCAAAGACCATCTCTCGTACCGATGTTTTCGAATTCAACTCCAACTTCACCGATAGAATGCGGAGAATTAAGGTGTCTCTTCCTCCAATGGATGAGCGGAAGAAGGTGCTTGAAGATGTTGACAAAGATAGACGCTATGCGATTGATGCAGCTGTCGTGCGGATCATGAAGAGCAGGAAAGTGTTGCCTCATCAACAGTTGGTCTCTGAATGTGTTGCGCTTCTTAGCAAAATGTTCAAGCCTGATATAAGGATGATCAAGAAACAGATTGAGGATTTGATCAGCAGAGACTATTTGGAGCGGAATACCGACAATCCTATTCCTAACACTTTCAAGTACTTGGCTTAGTACATAGAGCGAGAGACAAAGCCAACGGTGTTATAGTCTTCTTCTCCGGTTTTTTTTTGTAAAGGTCTCTTTAGATTCTTTTGGCTGAATTTTGGTGTTTGAAAAGATTAAAAATCAATTTTCTATTTGTTTTTTTTTCTAAACTAGTTAAAACATTATCTAAGACAAACAATATCATTAAGCTTTAATCTAGACCATAAAATATTCATGTCCATATAAACACATCAACAAACAAAATAACATTCACTACAATGTTGACAACATCAACGTCTTCCGACAAATAGGACACGAACCATGAATCTTGAGCCACACGTCAATACATTCGACATGGAAGCAGTGGTCACATTCTGGTATGCACCGTAAGGTCTCTGTCTTAGCATATTCTGATAAACAAATGGGACAGATGATACCATTAGTACCCGGAAGCCTTCTACTTTCTCCCAGCTTCACTTTCTTGTATGACTCTATTGTCGACTGGTCAAGACCCGTCGTGGTGACGAGAACTCTTCTTGGCTGCTGCGGTAGGGCTCTAGTCGCAACAGCCGCGCTTCTATGAAAGATAAACCTCTCGGAATGGTAAACGCTCATAGCAATACAAACGAAGATGGAGAATCCTCCGATCGTGCAGAGGGCTATAATTAGTACTAAACTAGCGCTCAAATGACCTGTCCTATAACGTTTCAAGAATTAGTTTGACATCGACGCCACCATGATTTTATACGGAGTTTTCTAGCGTGTTGACGAAGAAATTGAGAATACTTCTTTCGGTTATTTTTTAATAACTTTTTTTAAACATAAAAAAATTTAAAACATTAGAGAACTCCACATGCATGGATTTGAATTTTGAAGTTTTCCACCAAAATCTTCGTCAACCTTAAAGAAAGAAGAAGACGAAGTAGTTAAAAAACAATCAAGATCGTACCGGATTCATCATCGAAGCATTTGACTTCAAGGGAGGCCTTGTTCTTGAAACCACATCTCAAGCTATGCTTCTCACAACCACTGCAATTCGGCGAGCTCCATTCCAGCAACAGGTCTAAAACGTTGATGACAGTAGAGAATCCGTTATCTTCAAACGGCACATTAACCGGAACAGCCACTCTCTTCACGATCTGGCAAGAAGGCAGCATCGAATTCGCTAGAGTCAGATTAGACGTAGCGAAGAAGGAGGACGTAGAATTGCTTAGGCAATGGATCGGCGGATACCAAGACGGCATCAAGACCTCCTTACGACAAGTCAAGAACGTGTAGTACACATTGAAGCGAGGAGAGAAAGGAGATCCCGAAGTGTTGAATGATAAAAGCCGTTTCACCATGCAGCCTTGAGGGTCTTTGAGAGAAATCTGCTGCTTTAGGTAATTGATCCTATGGACAAGAAATGTTCCGGACATAGGAAGCTCAATGACTGTCTTATTGAAGTTGGTGCAGTGGAGACTGAATCCCGCGTGGCCACAGAAAGGAAAACGGATGGAGACACCGAATCGTTCACATTTATTTAGAAGCGATCCCCAAAAGGAAGAAGAACATGTTTTAGGGTTTGTGGCGTGTTGGAGAGGGAAGATGAAGAGGAAGAGGAAAAGTAAAGGGAAGAATTGTTTTGAGAGAGTCATGATGTGGTTTGTTACTAAATGTTGAAATAGTTCAAGAATTCTTATATGCACTAGGAAGAGGAAAGTCAGAGAATTGTGTGTCTCTTCTAAAAACAGTCAAAATATATAATTCTCCAACGTCAAAATATTTTAAGGTTTTATAAAAACAAATCCTTTTTCAACAAGAGACGTTTCCAAAGGGGTGGACAAACGAAATCTATATACATTTACGAGGCAGGGGACGTAGAAAAAAGGCTCCTAACTTTAAAGCTACATGAAGAGAGACTTTAAGGATCAGTAGCTTTCACAAATCTGCCTTTCACACGCAACCTTGTATCAGCTCTTGCTTTCCTCGATTCATACCTTATGGTCTTATCATATCTGTTGGCACCAATGATCCAAGACAAAGGGGAGAAACGTAATAAGGTATTAGGGTTCTTGTGGAGAGAGATAGGCAATAGAAAGATTATCAAAGGGAAAAGAGAAGACAAGCAGGCATTTACCTCCGAGTTTTCCTTTTTTCCTTGTAACGCTGCATTGCATGACCTCTGTTCTGAGCAAGCCGCTCCAGATCAGCCTTGGTTGCCACTAGTCTTGTGGACTTGCAACTAGTTCCAGCGATTTGTTCTATGAAATGCAAGTCAATGGAAGAGTTTGAACCTTTCTCGGAGCCAAATGTAACTGGAAGATTGTTGCTCTCAGATGTCGATCGGTTGTAGTCATTCTGCAAAAGAATCCTAATCAGAAATCACATTTATGTTTTAAGTTGCCTAACACATAGATATCTATGACAAGCCATAATGTTGGAATTGGTGTATACTCTGGAGGTAAAACGAAGAAAAGCAAACCAGCTTGTAACATGTTTCTATCTATGTATCTAAGTTCTGACTCTGTCTCTATTTACTAGAAGAAGCAACTGTCTTCAACAGTTTCTGTAAACAAATCTCATCACAAAAGGTTATACTTGGTTCAACGCCTGAGAGAACGCTGAAGCAAACATATTACCTGAGAAATGTCTTTGACACCTTTGGCTTTAGTGGAACAAGATTCATTCATATGGCCAACAAAAGTGTTGATTGTGAATGAAGCCGCATCTTTTGTATCATACGCAGCTTCCATTCGGCTACCGTCCTCAGGTTCTCTTGATTGTCCCAAGTTAAAATCCCATATCTGTAATTTCACCACACAGCTTAGAAACCATGGAACCACATAGCGACAGTCTTCACCATTTGGCAGCATTTTCTCACTTGCAAATCAACAGACTAACCCACCAAAGAAACCTAAATGTTCTAAGCAGTAAGCACAAGACCAAAAACAGGACCAAAGAGAGAAAAGTTGAACCTGAGTAGTCTGGCCACCACTACTAGGATTAGCAGCATTCCACAACAAAGATGTAAACGACGTCGTTGGAGGCTGCTGTGTAACTCCTTCTCCGCCATTGATATCCTCCTCTACATCTCTTGACCATCCCAATCTCTCCGGCATCTCCGGAACCATAAGCCCCTCTCCTGCTTCTCCTCCTTCTCCTCCTTCGCCGTCACGGTCACGGTCACGGTCACGGTCACCGTCACCGTCATCGTCATCACCACCGCCAACGACATCACTCTTTAGTAACTCCTCAAGCTGTTTACACAGCACCTGCTTATACCTCCCACAGCAAGAGCCACGCTTCTTAAAAGTATTATCTTTAGGGACGGGGACGATGAGTTCCTGTAAAACATTAGATCCCGAAACCCACGAATCTAGCTGCATCCCGAAATTCTCCATCATCATCGGCACTCGCAAGTTCTCTTCTTTCCTCCCTTGCTCCAGATCGAGCCCCCACAAGGCGGCGAGCTCCAAAGCCGACGGACAACCGGAGAAACCTTCCACGGCGGAGCGGACGTGAGCGTCGGAGACGGAGCAGCTCCCGTGCACATCCCAGTCGCACTCCTGGCACAAGACGAGGTTGTCGGTGAAGCACCGGACGGAGACCGGCTCGTTGCCGCAGTTATCGCAGATCTGGGATCGCACGTGCTTCCTCGAGAGGAGATTCGCCGTGTGCACGTGCTGGTCGCAGGTCAAGCAGAGCTTCGCCGTGTCTGCTCTGCAGAACAGAACCGCCGTCCGATCGCCGCAGAAATCGCACGGAACTCTCTCCGAGCTACTACCCATGATCTCAAAAACCCTTCTCTCAAAAATCCGAATTTAAGAAAGAAGAAATTCGACAATTTTGTTTTTGCAGAGATTATGGACGGTGGGAATGTTGATCAAACGAAGAACATGACAAATCCATTTCTCACGTTTTTCAATTTCGAAACTTTTTTGTCAAAATTATCTGCAAAAATCTTTTTGAGTAAAGAAGACAAAGAGCTGAATTTTTCTTTTCTTCAATTAAATGTTAGCTCTAAATTATTGTACCAATTAAAAGACTGTAGCGTTTGGGGTGTGATCCTCTGTGTCGCGACGTATACGATGGGAATAGTCTAGAACGAGAGATGTTGAGATCTAACGGCGTGAAGAGAGAAGCGCCATTAATTGGATTGGTGAAGCTTACGTTGAGGTACTGTAGATGACAGAGAATCTAATGAGGAAAATATCTAATCTGCTTTTTCACCTTTCTTTATTCAAAATATCTAAATTCTAATCTGTTTTAGGTTATAAAGGGAAAGTTAGTTCAAAAGCACATGATTTTTTTTAGAATTAGTTCTATCCCGAAATAGCAACGACCTTATGAATCGTGGCGTTTGCGTTCATTTTTAAATCACTAGCAATATATTGTATAGTGACGGCTTCTACTATCTTTTCTCATATTTCTTTACAAACATTTCAACATCATATAACACGTTGCTTAAACAAGCTGAAAAGTGTAGTTTATAGTTATACACACACTAGAGAGTTGTACTAATTCATTTCTGATTGAGAAAATATTGTCTATCTCATATACTTAAACAGTTCGTATCAAGTGTTGTTCATATAAACAGACTAGAAAACTATTCTAATTTATTCGAAAATTAAAATAATCGTACAGTATAAGTATTCCATCTATAACCAATTTCTGGAAAATGTGAAGACCAAGAAATTAGATGGAGGCCACATTAGGCCCATTAACTTTAAATAAGGAACTAATAAATGGGCTTACGGCCCACTAAGTAAGCTTGACAAGTAGTCGGTGATAGTTTAGATTTTTATTTCTTGCAGTGAATCTTTTTCGTTGCTTCGAGTTTTTTTATCTCCAGAGAGGAAACGAAGGTCTGATTCCAGAACTTGGTTTCGCTACTCGTCTTCTCATTTTCCGGTTTTATCCGATTCGTTGGTTTATCCCCGGTTGTGTGAATTCGTTTATAGTAGGACCGAAGTGTAATCTGGCAAAGCAAATTCTTTGCGACGAAAAAACCCTAAATCGCCATGGATAAGGAGAGACACTCCAGGAGCTCCAGGGACGATCGTGATCGGGATTCGAGTGCGGGTCATTCTCCGGAACGTGAAGGCGGACGCCGGCATCAAGTCCGAGATCGGGACGGTGATTCGAAGCGCCGTGATTCAGATCACTACCGGTCATCGAGGCGCGACGAAAGGGAGGATGAGAGAGATAGGACTAAGGATAGAGCTCGGGACAGAGGGAGATCTACTGAGCGAAGCGAGAGGGAAGGTAGTAGAGATAGGGAAAAGCACCATCATGAGAGGTCTCACGAGGGAAGTAAGGAGAGGAGCAAGAGGAAAGAGAGAGAGGACGAGAATGGGAATAGGGAGGCGAAGAAGAAATCTAGGTTTTCTGATGGGAATGGTGAGAGGAGAAGCAGGTTTGAGGATGCGGCTATTGAACACGAGCACAGAAATGCTGAAGTGACTGAGGGTTCTGGGGCTATGAATGCAACCAGTAGCGTTCCGATTGTGAGTTTCTTGTGCCTTTGTTTGCTATCTCGATTTCAATTTCAGTATGCTTGTTGTTGGTTTCATTCAAATTTTCCTCAGAAATATTAAAATTGTGTTTGAAGTGCTCGTGCTTTGCTTGTCTCTGTGCAGGACGCTTCTTCGTTTAGTTCTATTGCATCGGAAACTAATTTGGCCACCAGTCAAGCCCTGCTCACTAAGGTATCTTCGATATCTACAAAGGATGAAAATAAGGGAGTTAGTATTGTCAGGTCTCATGAGGTTCCTGGAAACTCTAGTACAGATGGAAGAGCGTCTTCAACGGCTGAGAAAAGTAGTGCAGAGTTGTCCCTTGATGCAAAAGCGAAAGCTATGAGAGCCATACAGTTGGGAAAGGGATTGGCGGATAAATTGAAGAATCTTTCTAAGGTAAGATGTGGAGATATGCTTGACATGTGCATTTAATCTTCTCTTTGGAACTTTTGTATTTGATCAAATTGGTTTCTTTCTTTCTTCTCTTGTGCAGCTGAAGAAGGATGCAAACTCAGCTTCAGATGGTAGCCCACATAGCACAGTGCCAAGCATCGCTCCTGCAGGAACATCTTCTGCTTCAGCACTGCCAAATTTTCACAACATTGAAGGTGTTAGGCGAGCTCAGGCGATTGTAGCTAAGATGGGGGGATATATTCAGGGTCAAGATTCTGCTCCCGCTATCAATTTATTTACAGGACAAACACCCGCAGAGATGGCAGTTCCACAGAGACCGAGCAAGCCCCCTGTTCTGCGCGTGGATGCACTTGGAAGGGAGATAGATGAACATGGAAACGTCATTAGTGCGACTAAACCAAGCAATCTTAGTACATTGAAGGTCAGAGAAAGTTCACTAAATGTCTGGATTTTTCTATGTTTTTTTCTTTTAATGACACAGCTTTCTGTGTATCTTGGTGTTTACAGGTTAACATCAACAAACAGAAGAAAGATGCTTTTCAGATCCTTAAACCTCAACTAGAAGTAGATCCAGCAGAAAACCCCTTTTATGATCCTAGGATGGGTATTGATAAAACCAAGATTCTGAGACCTAAGCGTATGAGTTTCCAGTTTGTTGAGGAAGGTAAATGGAGTAGGGATGCTGAGAATTTGAAGTTGAAGGTATGCATTGTCTTTACTGTTGATTTTTTTGTATCAGTTTCATTTTTGTTGGCCTTACAGATGTCTCAGTGTGTGTAACTTTTTTGTATCTTTGATTTATAGAGTCAATTTGGTGAAGCAAAGGCAAGAGAGCTGAAGGTGAAGCAAGCACATTTGGCAAAGGCAAAGGATGATATAAATCCAAATTTTATAGAGGTATCCGAACGTGCCCCAAGGAAAGAGAAGCCCAAGGACCTAATCCCAGATGTTGAGTGGTGGTACGTAATTTTTCTCACCTAGCCTTTTTTTTTATTAATGCTGACTTGCTTTGTCTCAAATGTTCATCTGATTTGACGTTCACATGGCATAAACTTGATGAAAACAAGTCGTACTACAATTATCAAACTAAACCTGTAATGTTTGGGCGTATTGGGTGAAAGTGATGAATCACCATAAGAATAACTTCACAGTTTTCACATAACCGTTTGATATCCTGTTCGTGTTGGTTTACCGTTATTTGTTTGTTTGTTCTTGAACTATTCTTTTATTTCTCTTAGACGGGATATGTATAACTAATAACACACTAGATTTCTACAATATGCTTCTAAAAGTTCATTACTTTTGTGATCAGCACCTGTGTAGTGAATTGACTTCTAATTTTGAACTACTTTGTACTTTTAAGTGCAGACCAAATATTTTATCTGCTGTTTTATGCAACTCGTCAGTTTTGTTGGTTTTCATTAGCTCATAATAATTTTGTTTTCTGTTTCAGGGATGCGAGTATCCTCAACAGTGGCTTATATGGCGACATGGCTGATGAAACCATTGCCGATAGCGATCTGAAGATAGAAAAACTGACTCACTACATTGAGCATCCCCGTCCCATAGAGCCACCTGCAGAGGCAGCGCCTCCACCACCTCAACCTCTTAAACTGACAAAGAGGGAACATAAGAAACTGCGAACCCAGAGGCGTCTAGCAAAAGAAAAGGATAAGCAGGAGATGATCAGGCAAGGATTGCTTGAACCACCAAAACCCAAGGTGAAAATGAGCAACCTGATGAAGGTTCTTGGCTCTGAAGCAACCCAAGACCCAACCAAGCTCGAGAAAGAGATCCGCACAGCAGCTGCTGAGCGTGAACAAGCTCACACGGACAGGAACGCCGCGAGGAAGCTAACCCCAGCCGAGAAACGTGACAAGAAAGTGAGGAAGCTTTTCGACGATCCGACATCGGCTGAGACGATAGTTTCGGTGTACAAGATCAACAAGCTCTCGCATCCCAAAACGAGGTTTAAAGTGGAGATGAATGCGAGACAGAACATGCTAACAGGGTGTAGCGTGATGACGGACGACATGAGTGTTGTTGTGGTTGAGGGTAAGAGCAAAGCGATAAAGAGATATGGGAAGGTGATGCTGAAGCGGATTAAATGGGAAGAGGCGGTGAAGAAGGAAGGAGAGGAGGAAGATGATGAGGAAGACGAGGATGGTGGAAACAACAAGTGCTGGTTGGTCTGGCAAGGAATCGTTGGGAAACCGAGTTTCCATAGGTTTCATGTACAAGAGTGCTTGACCGAATCTGCTGCCAAGAAGGTTTTCAGTGATGCTGGTGTTTCTCACTACTGGGATCTCGCTCTCAATTACTCTGACGACTAGATAAATCTTCATCGTCTCTCAATTTCCATCATGGATTCTCTTGAAATGTTTTTAACTGTTTGGAACATGTTATGGAATTTCCAGGAGGAGTATATGGTTCTCTGAACAGATTTTGTGTTCGTCTACTTGTCTTGTTGGTATTTCGCATCTGAACAAGAATTATCTGTGTTTTACCTTCAAGAAAACATGTAAACTCTGGAGCAATTATCACTAATTGCGTCGTAGTCCATAACCACGAAGAAATTTAAAATTAATTAAGTGGATTTAGTTGACTTGTTCGATATATTTAGATTAATTATTTTATTTTTTGACACTTGCTGCCGAAAACAAAGGACTCCTTGTATATTCCCTCTAACTAACTCATTTTTTTTTTTAAATTAAACCGGTCACTGGTCAGTTTAATTATTGTGACGCGCATGACCAGCGCGTGAGGGGGTGGTCATATGTTCGAGAACAGGGACGTGCGACAAAATGCGAGCCAGAGTGCTCAATGTGCGCCTGACAGCTACGGAGTCCAGCTTTCTCTTTACCCAACGAGCACCAACCCACACAGCGCGTGACCCAATTCCACTATTTGAAATCCCGAAACTACCCTTACAAAGCCTTTTTTTTCTTCTTTCCCTTAATTAAAGAGTGTTCCTTGGTTTTTGTTTTCTACCTAAAATCCCTTCATAATTCTCTTTTTGTTCTTCTTCTTCTTCTTCTCCTCTGCTTTGGAAACATTCCGGTGAGTTCTGAGAAAACATACAAAAAATGGCGGCACTGGATATGGCGACGATAACGAAATATCTGGAGAGATCGATGGAGAATTGTTCGTTGACTAACCGGAGAAGGAGTGTCGGACTCGGAGATGGGTTTGGTATGACGGACGAGAGCGACGATCATATCTCGATCTCAGATACAACCTTGGAGCTCAATTCTCACATCTCTATTCCGTCTCATTTAGAACAGTGTCTTGATCTCAAGGTAAAGGAACCAACCAGATTCCTCTGTTTTGTTTTTTCCGGTTGAATATTCTCTGCAGAAACTTTGAATTTTGTGTCATTTCCGTACTAGGGATTGCATTGATTGGTGATTAAGGAGAATCATTTGTTGATTTTGTGGTAGGAGATATAATAGCTTCTTTTGTTTCCTTATAATGTTCTTTTTTTGTTGCATTTATTGCTTCAACATTATTGTCTATAAATGCTCACTGGATTTGGTTCCAAGCTAGATTTTTACTACCAAAGAGAAACCCTAACTGAAATTTTTTTAGTTGCTTAAGAAGAGAATCTTGGAAGTATTTTATTTGGAAAGATTCAGGATCTTGAGATTTTTTGTTTCATCTTAATTCCTTCTCGGAAAGCTGGAGTTAATTTCTAAGTTTTTTTATTAGTTTTAGATTGAGATTTTGAGGTGTGTTTTTGGTTTAGACAGGAGAGATTTACTACGTCAACTGGAATGATGGAACGAGAGTGAAGGAAGATCCGAGCAAATCGGTAAGCAGCAGCAACAACGGAGGAGATCAGTTCAGTGGAGAGTCGTGTGAAACTGTGTTTTCAGAAGAAGATAGCTCGTATTGTGAAAGCGAAGAGTCTTCGTCAGAGTCATCGAGAGAGCATCACAAAGAAGAGAATGAAGAGGTTCTTGTGGTAGCTGGTTGCAAAGCTTGTTTCATGTACTTCATGGTACCAAAACTCTTGCAGGATTGCCCCAAATGTGCATCTCAGCTTCTCCACTTTGATCGACCTCACTCTGCTTCATATTGAATCTCTCTTTCTTTCTTGTTTTCTCTTCTCATTTTGGTTACCTGTTTGTCATTTTCTTTAAATAGATTTGTAGGTTTCTTTTTTATAATTCCTCTCCTAAAATAGTATATATGTATAACCTATTGGTATTAACACGAGGTTTTATGGCAATTTCCATTGGTATTGAAAGAAAAACCACAATTATGCTTCGAATGTTTTTTTTTTAATATTTTGTTTGGTTTTATTATGCTTCGAATGTTGATACCATAACCGATACTATTGCATAACAGACGGTTGAGACAGAAAAAGCAGAACACATTTTGGACGTAATAAGTGCATGTATTTTTGTATGTAATTTACAAATATGTGAGATTGATCTAATAGATTGGTTGGTATTGAGTGTTTAGAGTTGGAGTTTGGAGGGATGTTTCATGCTTGGGACAGTTGTTGGCATTAAAGAATTTAAGGTTGGTCAATGAAGATAAGAGCCCTTAAGATTCGCGCGCTGCGTGGAAAGAAAGACAAATTTAAAAGCATAATGATTGCAGCATGTGAGCATACCACATTTTCTGTTCCTTTTGTTTCCCATTTTAATTCGTGAATCAAAAATGTCCTGTCTTTAGTTTCGGCCAACTAAAGTTCAAACTTTTAGAATAACTTTTGAGCTTTGACCTTCTCATAAATATCTAGAAGAGCCCCCCGAGCATATAGTAGTAGTATCCGAAGCAAAAACAAAAAGGGAACAAAAATTGGTGTTTTAGAAGTTTAATGTAGTATATAACCAGAAATACTCATTTTACGGTTAGTTAAAAAAACTTAAAGTTAGCAACAACAGATGAAATATAACATAATACCAAGAGACAAGTTATTTTTGTGGAAATATAACTGGATTATAAGAGCATCTCCAACCCCATGCTAAATATGACATATATGCTATTTTGCCATAATTTTTGCTCCAACCCAATTGCATATGCTATTGCAAAATAGCATCATGCTATTTTTGCTTCTATATTTGGCATGAGATTATGCAATATGCTATTTTGCCATTGAACTTTTTTATTTATAAAATAGTCCTTCAATTTGTAATTACTTTTAATTTAACAGTTTAATTATATTGATTATGATTTATTTAAATAAATAAACAATACTCATAACTTTTTCAAAATATAAATAATATTTATTTCATAGAAATATAAAAACATAACCATAATAAACTTCAAATTTTATTTTTAAAAATACTGAAATTCAAAAAACATAAAACAATAGGTTAAAATCTTTGTTTTCTATAATTTTTATGTAATATGATGTATTTTGTTTTAATATTATAATAAAAAAATATAATTCTGGTTGTTTTTGCAAAAAAAGAAAAACAAATGATTCACTTTGTAAAATTTGAAGAAATCAAGTAGTTTTAACAATTAATAATAAGTTGGAAAAAAATTATAGCATGATATATGGCATGAGGGGTTGGAGAGAAACCCAATGCTATTGCTATATTTTTGCCATTTGCAATAACATATGGCATGAGGGTTGGATGGTCTAAGTGTGTATTTAAATATGCTTAAAAGGTTTTCAAAGTATATTAACTTAGACTACCAGTTCTATATCCGACAGAGAAATATCCTCACATATAACTAATGAGGCTTACTATTGTTACAACTTACATTAAATGCTTGATGATTACAAAAAGTCAAAAAGTCAACTTATGAGCTAATTTCAATCAGACATCTGTGTATATAAAACTATTAGATTAAGGCCCGCGTATACGCGGGTATATTTTAAGATTTTATAATAAAAGCATGGAAAATATTAAACAAAATTTGATCATTTTTAAACGTAAACAAAATAATATTGAAAACCCGATAAAAAATATTTAAATAAAATAAGATTGGTAATACTTTTACATTTTTATTGTAATTGATTTTTCTTTTGAATTTATGATATGACAAAATGAATTAATTTGTTTTACTATTATTTTTATCCAATACAGAAAGACTTACACATGTCTAAATCTGATCAACTGATTAATTAATCAAACTTTTATTATTCCATTCAAGAGATTTTAATTGATGAAATCTTTATTTCAATTTTTTTTACCTAACAAAAATTGAAAATCAAACTATTTAAAATTAGAATATCAATTATAATTTTTTAATATTAGTTAATTGCTTGATAATTATTTTGTTAGTTTTCTATTTATATTTTTCTTTCTCAATTTTGTTTTTGCCTCAGACCATTATAAATACTATATATTGGTATTTTTCCTTTTCGAAATGGATTTTTTTTCCTTTTCTTAATAGATGTAACAAAAGAATTTAAATTATTTGTTTCCTGTTTTTTTATTACTTTTAATGGATGTATTATTTTTTTCATTTTAATTATTTGTTATCTGTTTTTCTAATTTTTAGTTAGTCTTATACATATTAAATTTTTATTATTTTTATTCCATGACACATGTTACGATCTTCATACTTCGAAATTTTTTTTTTCTAAAACACATGTCGCAATTTTGTCAGTTATAAAAATCCTATGTATCGCAAAACTTTCAAAAACATGATTTTTAAATTGGAGAAATAGAATCAAAGGGATTTGATGAATTTTCTTTGATGAATTTATGATTGAGAAATCTTGACTCTCTTTTATAGGGTTCAAGTAACCTATTACATGCAGTTATAGGAAATTTAGTTTACATAACATATTCCATGTACAAATAGGATTTTATTTATTACATTATTTTGATTTTATTATTTGTTTGGATAATATTAATTTGATGAATGGAAACCTTTCTCTATTAGGATATGACAAATATATTTTTATTTCTTTTAACTGTAATGGATTAATTTTTTAAAAAAATTCCTTTATCTAAATTTTTTATTATTATTATTTTTTTTTTTTTCTCTAAGACATGTGTCACGATCTTAACGGACGTAACATTAAAAGTGACACATGTCGCGATCTTATAAATTATAAAAATCCTATGTGTCGCAACCACGTCGTGCGCATCCAACTTTATATAATAAAAAATTGATGAATGGGAAACCTTTTTCTGTTTGGATATACAAATATTATTTTTTCCTTTTTGATATAATAGATTAAATTAAATTTCGTTTTTTTAATTAACATTTTTCTGGAATTTTTTTTTTAAGTTCTCTTTTTCCTAAGACACGTGTCACGATCTTAACGGACATAAACTTAAAAGTGACACATGTCGCGATCCTGAATTTTATAAAAATCCTACGTGTCGCAACCACGTCGTGCGCATCCAGCTTTATATAATAAGATATTAATTATTAGTTGACTTTGGTATGTTTTGTTTGCTTGCTATCACCGTCAGAAAAAAAAAAGAGAAAGATGGTACTTGTGAGATTTTTCACGTTTTGTTTCATTATGAAAGATTTGTTGTTCTTCAATCTTCAGTATAGAAACAAAAGTAAATTTATATTGCCAGCATTTTTAATCCTTATCTACGTTAAAAAAACTTTCTATCTCCCAGTAAAAGAAAAGCATATATGCGTTTAGTTTTTATCTCTAAAATGCTGAGTTTGAGTACTTATATATACAACAGCAAAATTAGGGTAACTTGCTCTTGTTTGAAATCACTTAGGAAACTATGTGTACGTCACGTCTTCTGGTTTTTTAGTGAGTTGAAGATCATTTAGAGGCTTTGTTGAAAGTATATAATCTCGTATGTCCATCCCATTCTTCGGAGGGTTAAGTGTGTCAAAATTTGAAGCTCATCGATCTCACACAACTGAAGAATATAACACAATGAGAGACTTGGGCCTGATTAACAAAAAACAAAAGCTATCGAAGTGTTGGCCTATTGACTAAGAGTTTGTGTGTACTCGTGCGTGTGCATATACAAGAAAAAACGAGTGAAGAGACAAAATGAGCATAAATTGTCAAAAATGTTGTAAGAGAATCCTAGGGTCTAGGGAAGTCAAGTAAGTACTATTGGAATTATTAGGTTTGTTCAGGTATATATGAACAAAAGAAATCCGTTCTAGAGAATTCCACAATCGTAGTATAATGTGTGATACGTTGAACACTCCTAAAATATTTATAAAGCGATTATTACAAAAGTTAAAATTTCTTCTCTCTTCTTTTCGTATATTCATCGCAGTTCGTCATTCTTTCTTTTTTTTTTGTTAAAGTTTCTCCGCAGTTCTTCATTCGTTATTAAATATTTTACATGGTATATATTGTTACTATAAATTAAATTTTGCTAACAATATCGAGATACCTTTCCAGTTACTACAAAGTTGATGTCTCAGATTCTGTTAAAATATAAAGCTTCATGCATAGCAATCTGAGTGCTTTTATCATATGAAAAGACAATGCTACACCTACATGAGTATTCCGATCGCATCTAACTGATATGCATGCTAAAAAAGGTTCTTTACTACACATTGGTCTTTATTCTGATTTACAAATCTTTTTCTTATATTACTACACTTAGCGAGATTTGACAATGAAATAGTCAATCAGTTGTTACTACGTCACCATTCATCTAACATTTGATACTATTTATTGATGATTTTTTTTATAAGATATTTCACTGATAAAGTTAATCAATTCCTAAGTTAGTATATCACCAGATCACCGGTCAAGCGTCTTTAGCATGGGTGGTCCACCCATTGTCGCCACTTTAGATCGAGGAGGGAAGTTAGACTCTCTCCCACGTACCCGTAGGCCTGGGTTGGGGTTTTGTAATTTTTTATCTCATGCTTTTCAATAGAATGTCTATTAACCAAAAAAAAAAAAGTTTTGCTGGAAATATAGTTACAGTAGTACTAAATTTTAGTGATAAGCTATATAGACAATTTTCTTGTATTACTAAAAGAGTTATTTGTTTTCAAACACTTGATCTATACTCCATAAAGAGGATACCAAATTAAATTAGGGTAAATTCTTAAAATGACCTTACGTTGGTCATATATATATTCACAACCTAAAAAACGACGGATTGTTACCAAAAACATAGATCTCGCAAGTGGTTTAACAAATATTATTACTTATTAGTAACATTTCATCTGATAACACGTTAGTTTACATGATATTTAACAACACGGAAAAACATACAATTGATTTATCGTTTTGTTTGCCAATTTTGGCTATGCATATACTAGATGAATCCTTTCTCACCGCCAAAAGGCCCAAAACTCAAACTCGTTGCTTCAAACAACCCTCCTTTTAGGATTCTGTTATTGTCCATCTTTTTTGTCGACCACTATTGACTGTTTTTGTGGCATAATTTCGGTTCATATCAACCATAGTTTTACAGAATAGTTGAAAGTGCCAGCAGCTGCAACGAATACACACAACTATAGACAATTTATCTGCAAAATGTGAGGATATAACCCAAAATATGTAATCGAATCGGAGTAAAACGTATTTAAAAGTATCAATGTAATATCTAAGTAGGCGAGGGTGGGGGTCACATGGAGTTCAGAGAAAGAGCAGAAGAGTCCCCACGTCGTCTGTGGTTTGGGGTCCTCGGGCTCTGGTGATACCAAACACCATCATGCATGCCCAACTCTCTTTTCCATTATTTATTTCCTTTCTTTTTTAGGGCTTTCTTTTCTATATTCATGTCCTCCTACAACCATCGAATATTATAATAACCCACATTTCCCCCCGTATATACAAATAGAAATTAAATAATACATGCTTTACCAATATTCTACTCCTTAACATTATTTCTTTATTATTAGCCTTTCATTCTTTCTTCACGCTCCCTTTTATGGTTTCCTTTTAGTTTGATTCAACTTCCCATCATGCATGTATACATATTTTATTGTATGTAATATTCCAAGTAATCTATCTTATTATTGACATTTTGACAGATATTGTCATCATATTCCTCTCCACTCTCTGCCCATTCCACTTGCCTAATTTCTAATCTAAATGCTACTATATTTTATTAGTCAATCAACTCACTCATGCATTCTTTCTCTGTATATAATAATTATGGATATATGTAATCAAGTGCAACTAAGTACTTAATTTTTCTTACATATATTTGAAAATTTCTTACAAATAAAAAGAAGATGCACGTATACGTCTATTTTAGTAACATGAAAAGTTTGAAACCACTCACTACAAGATAAGTGTCACAGTAAAATACTAAAAACAAAAGTATTTAATTTAATTCAAATGGATCATCGATTTTGATAAGAGAACCAACAATTAGCCACAAATACCTCTTTAAGATATTAGAAATATATACTTGCAAAGTATTATAGAAACAAAAACAGTATTTAGCATAAGTATTGAAACCATATACTGTATATACATATATCGATTATCAATGGTAAGTTGTGTTAACTGCTATGACCAAAATACTTCCATATACAAAAACTTTAGTTATAAATACTAAACACTGTTACAATTAACAACTCTAACATTCACTTGCCTCGATATTCACAAATTCTTTTGTTAGGGTTGATACACATGATTAACTTATCATGCTATTTTTCGTAAGACTTTTTAGTGAAAAGATAAAGTTGTAAGGCTGTTGAATTTTTTTAGGAAATGAGTGATTTTTATAGAAAACAAAAAGGAGATTGCAATGATCGTAATTGAAGATTAATTTAGTTGACGATCATTACAAAACAAATGGATCTTGACATATAGTACATGAGTATATTTTACATTTATGCAACATGCATGGTTTATAGTTATACATTCATGAACTTCTGTGCATAATTAAAAGTGAACCTGTAACAAGTGCTTTATTACTTTTTGAGTAAAATTTCGAAGGTTTTATTGTGTTTTGTGTAAGAAACTTTGTCGAAAATTCAAAAAGAGTGATGTGGATGACCTCTATTGTATAGCAACATAGTATCTAAAGTAACATGGATTATGTTTTAAACATACACAATGAAGAATCAAATTTAAGTCAAGCCTCCGTTCTACCAAATAAATAAAAGGGAAAATTAACTTGGAAGAGATATCTACAAGGTAATTACAGCTATAATAATATGTTCAAAATAATATCCCATAGTATAAAATAAAAAGCAACTCATTAGGGCTAAAACTAAACTTTTTAAGGATATTACTAATTAATTAAATTTCCTTGAAAACAAATTAAAAACTTTGGCTGTCGAATTTTTTTTTGTCCTCGGAACATGTCCTGAAAAAGCGAATAGCTGGATCGATCACACCCCATTTCATCCTTTTCCTCGCATAGGCATACCTTTCGTCCTTTTAAAGTCAATAAAACCCAAAAAAACTTTTACAGAAATAATTAACATTGTTTAAGCATTTTGAGTAAGAAAAAGAAAAAGTGTAGTCCTAAATTATATAAGCTTTTACATTACGTATATATATGATCACTACGTACATGAACAAAAATTCATAATTTCAGATATTTTTATTGAATTCAAATCTGACAGACAGAGAGACCATCACACTCCTCTCTCTATCTTACATTCCCACAAGCTTCCAAACAAAGAGAATTAATGGAAAGTAAGATTTGCAAAGGAATAATTTCTCTTCCTCGTCCTCTCTCACTCACAACCCTACACGCATATAAAAATAATAAACAGTATATACATAACTCAATATGAAAAAGAAAAAATAAATAAATAAACAAAACCCTTATCTTCTTCATGAGAATCATCTCCTCTCCACAAAACCATGCCTCTCTAAGCCCTCTTCTCACTTTTCAACAATCCCTCCATATATTATTCGCTCATGCTGAGATCATATGACCAATATGGTTCCTCTTGAATCCTCACCGCTTTTAGGCGTTTTCAGCTACGGCGGTTGCAGCAGCGGCGGAGGCGCGGAGGTGATGATGATGAGAGAAACAACAATAAACAACCAATATTCTAGTGGAGATACATGCTCCGTCTCCGATCCAACAGTAGCTTCTACTAGTTATTGTAACATCTCTTCCTCTCCGGTGACCACGGCCAGCAAAGACGGCGGATCCGCTGAAAAAAACGACGTCGTTAGTTGTGTTAACTTAGAAGATCAAGACAAATCTTGGCTCCGGTTAGGTATAGGCCCTGAGGAGAATAAAGACAGCAGCACGCCATCTTATAAGCTCCAACGTTGTTGTAGCAAAAACTCAAGTGGAAGAGAAAAGTCGTTAGAGCTCAGTTTGTTCTCCTCATCCTCAACCGTGGCAGGAGCGGTTAGTAGTAGTGTAGATCACCCGCAGCAGCCGCCGCAACCGCCATATTCTCACGATCAACTGCTGACGATGCGTGGAGCGTCGTTGGTTTACAATCACCAGTTGCTTCGGCCTCAAACGTTATTAAATCCCGGTTTTTCTTTTCCATATTCAAAGTCGTGGATACCTCAATATACGGCGCCGTTTAGACCGTCATCATTAGGGATGATGAGTGACCGTGACGTCACTAACAACAATAGTGTTGCAAGGAATTGTTTTGTGGATGAGAGAGGAGCTGGACCAAGCTGCTCCGAGTTTAGGGTTCTTGATCCTCCAAGAAGACCACATTCTGGTCTTTGGTTTCTTCTACAAGCTTCACAATATCAGTATGATCTCTCTTGCCTTTTTCTTTAATCTTTTCTTTTTTTGGATCTATTTATAATTATTAGTATGTAACACATGAAAGTCCATATGTTTGTGTATATAACAATGGATATGTGAACGCAGGGAAAAAGAGCCGTTCTTGCCTCAAGTAAATAAAAGCTACTTGAGAATCAAGTAAGTCTATTTTGTCTCATGCATTATTTAAGTTTCTTTGTTGGGGAAGGTACTAAGTACTGACGATTACTTCTTTGCGTTATATTCTAATATGCATTTTTGTTTTGAATTTGCGTGGATAAGGGATGGGAGAATCACAGTTAGATTGCTAATTAAGTACCTTATGAAGAAGCTTCAATTAGATAGCGAATCTGAGGTAAATATCTCTCATAATCTAACTCTTTTATATATGCTTTTTGATATTCTAAGTTTTGTGGGTATGAAATGAAAATGACACTGGAACTAAATCCCCAACTTCATTAGGTCACACGTCTGATGTCATGGTGTCGTAATGTCTATAACTTAGTCAAATCTTAGCTAGAGCATATTTCAAATTGTAGTAATATAGGTGAGTGAACCCACTTTCAGAATACTGAGAGCTACACGACATCCTTAATTAGGTGTAAATCTAATCAAAATACTCATGATTAACCTAGGTTTTTTTTTTTAAAAACACAATTTCTTCTTCTGTGTAGAATTCATCAATTTCAAAAGAATTGTTAAAATTTATGGCTTAATGGTTCATGAAAAGATTGGTTTCCTATGTACCTCTCTAGCAAGAAATTTCGCCCCAAAATTATTCTCTCTCATTTTAGAACAAAAAAACAGTTGGTGTTTATTGTTTAATCAGTTTTTTTATTGATCGCTTCTCGAAGTATGCACCACCTTATCAATAATTATTGTAATTATTATATTTTCTCATATAAAACTGGAAAACGAGAGGGGGACTATAACTGGCCTTTTCATTAGTTTCAGGCCATAATATAGTTATAATATTGATAATGTTAATTTTGGGGAAAAAAGACAAGTCTGAGTCATCAGGCATGCTTGCTTTGAGAATAGTAGAAACTAGAAAAGAAAGGATATCTTAATCCAACCTCAAAAAGCTTACATGCGTATTTGTGTTTGTAGATGCTCTCGTTAATCAGAATTTTACAATAATCTAAATATATTGCATGTTCCTATGGAGTCTAGATAGGCTCACAAATACATGTTCATGCGATATGAAGTATTGTGTCCCACAAGAATCAACTGCATCTCTAAGAGTGTAATTAAGTGTACACACATAGAGGCATAGAGCATGTATTCAATCTAAGGGACCATTTAGAGTTTTAGACATCTTGTTTTTTGTTAAAGGGCAGACCATTTAGACATTAATAAAAGGCTGTGAAAAAAAAAATCGCCATGGTTGGATGACTAGTTAATCGGCAGCTAGGTATCCGTTTAACAATTTAGCGCTTGATAATTTATTGTATGCATGATTTCATTATACGTAACAAGAAGAAAAAAAGTCTAATAAACGGCTAACGCTTTATAGAACATTAATTAGTACATTCATTTGGTTGTGTGAGTTCATTGATGTAGTCTTCTTGATTGTTGAGATTAGCGATCAATTTCTACTAAGACGCACACGTAAACTATGACAAAAAAAAAACTTTAAAAATTATCTATCGATGTACGAAGAGAAAGATTTTGGCTACAGGAAAGAAACCAATTAATTTAACATGTTATTATCCAGAGTATGAAGAAATTCATTTATATGAAAAAGTTGGATTTCACGCAGAATACAAATAACCATGAAAGGAGTAGTATAGTTTTTGGTCTAATGCCTAAGTTCTCATGTTTCTGCTTATTTTCTTGAGAGCATGTCATCACAAGAATATATTGATATTTGGTCCGAGTAATTAATTCGTTCTGAATACTATAACATTGTTACATAGTACTACTGTACATAGCACCATGATAGACAAATGGGTGACATATTATATTCTTACTCAAATAATCATTTGATGGAAAACGTGATTTGAAAGCATTGATGCATGCATGGCTAAGTTTGTCTTTTCCTTTGCGCCAAAACAAACAAAAAAAACTGTTATTCCCACTCACAAACATATGAAAGTTTCACTAGTTATAATCTTTGGATAGTTTGATCCGTTTCCAAGTCAGTTAATCAGTTGATACGCCATTTAAAAGTCAATCCAAATCGGAATTTAAGCATTGTAGTTTGACAAAAAAAAAACTAAGTGGTGGTAATTATTAGGTGTTTAATTTGTAAAATCCCTTCAAGGTTTTTGGTTTTTGTTTTTTAATACATCTCTTTGAAGGGATTCTGTTATGAATTTTATTGGGTTGTAATCTATTGAACAAGTAGAGAATCATTAAAAAAGCGCACACACACGAAGCATAAGAATTGCTGAAAGAAGAGCTAGAAAACTAATCATATACAGTACAAACTCTATAAATTAATACTCGATAAATTAATAAACACGATAAATTAATAAATTTCTCCGGTCCCGAGTTGGGCCGGTGTAAAATATGACACAATTCGATAAGATAATAAGATAATAACTTTTTTTAAAGTCCTATGTAAAATATGGTCCCAATAATATCATAAATTAATAATTATCATATAAAAACTTATATAAATCTAAAATATCTAGCTACTAAAATATGAATCTCTCACACACCAAACATATATGGAAACTAAAAGAAAATAGAAATTTAAAATAATATGGCAAGTATGAGAAAATGTAAACAATAAAGTAAATATAGAAACATCAAAGAGAAAAGTTAAGAAAATATACATATAAAGGAAAGTTTATTTAATGTGAAGGAAAATTTAAAAGATTAGTAATTTTGAATTTTCTTTTTTTGAATTTTTTTTTTAGCCAAAATCTATATATTAATAACTCTATAAATTAATAAAATATCAAAGTCCCGACATTATTAATTTATAGAATTTCTATATAAATGATATCAATAACTGACACATCAACACCTCCACACACACAAAACATCAAAACCTCTACAGATGCCATGCATACTAAACCAAAAATAGTTCCCTTTATTTGCATTCTCTTCTTTGTAATTTGCTCCCATCTTTTTTAAATACATTATTGCGTAAAAGAAAAAAAACTTTTTGAAATTTTAGCTTCTCCTAGAGAAAGGATCCCATTACACTGTCATCATATATCTATTATAAGATCTCTTGAGCCTGATACAAAAGATCTTGGCCAATATTATAAGTTTATAACTAATATGATATTCTTCGATTTTTATTAAAGTGGAATTGTGAAAAAAGGAAAACAAACAAAAATCTAACCTTGTCGTCACGCTTATGCTTGTTAAGGTCAGCTATTCTATGCTATTAGGGGGTCTTGAAGTTACGTGTTAAATGTCGCATCATAACCCTAAGTGCTGCACGTTCATGAATTTGTAGTAACTTGATCATCCCCCTCACCAACCAATCACGTTCCTACAATAGTCAATAGCACACAAAAATATTTATTTCTTAATAAAGAAATAAATTAGCTTTTCTGACAGTTCAGCGGCAGAAATGAATCAGTTGCACATCTTCTAGATGGATCGAACAATAACTTCAAATCCTTGTATTTGGTGACTTTGTGTCATTGTTTTGTTAATTTGCACTTGTTGTACCATTTTGTTTCTTTAAAATTCACAATATCGCGAAAATTTGCATGGAAACGTGGTTTGAGGTGCGGCCAATATACTTCATTTTAATTTATGTTATGAAAAATGAATCCTCAAATATAGACGACTCTAGTGATGAGTAAATTTACACTTTTACTTTACGTGGAAAGTCTAAGTAGGCCCCTTCATGATTAAAAAAATCGAGAAGGTTTGAGACCGTAGTGTTTAGTTGGACAGCCTCGGCTAGTCTCTCAGAGCCGACCAGAGTTTGGTTTATCTTTTTTTTTTTGCTAGTGTATAGTATTATTTTTCTGGTTTTTTTATTTTCTTAACTTCGTATCTTTGGCGTCAAGTCGAGGAAAAGTGGGGGATTTTTGGGTAAGGCATACGTTACATATACATCTAAGTCTAACTACGACTTGTTTTACCCAAAAAAAAAAAAACATCTAACTACGACAACACATAAATTAAGCCCAAGTTTCATCAAAGAAAACATTTAAAAAGAAAAACATAAAATAGAGTTATCATATACGCTAATTACCGTAAAAAAAAATACATTTTTACAACTTTTAATGCTTGAGTCACCCAATTTGCATAGCATTCATCAATACTCTTAACTTTTTCTATATCTCATGTGACACACACGAGCACATATATGGATATTTATGTGATTTTGACTATTTTTGGTTTGTTTGATGGTGCAAATGAAAAACAGATAGAGATAAGATGCAGAGGACAACAATTATCGCCGTTGTTGACGATGCAGCATGTAAGAGATACAATATGGAGTCCAAAATCATCATTACAATCATCATCTCCCTCTTTCACTTTGCTTCGGGATTCATCAACTAGTGATCATGTCATGATTTTGCATTACGGTAGGACTGCTTAATTAATGTTAATTTATTTTGTATTTTTAGTGTGCTCTCGAAGTCTAACATTTTTCTATCATCGTGTATCTATGATCGAGTTTTATATAATCCCTCTCTTTTTGTTTGGGTTTTTGATCGAATTTTAAATTTCCCTCCCTTTTCTTTTTCAGAGTTACTATTACTTTTTTTTTCTCTCTTTCTGGCCCACATAAGAGCTAATACTAAATTACTAATACTATCACATTGTAGGGAAGTGGAGTCTGAACTCCAAATATGGTACGACCCAAAGTGGTCTGTCTGAACACTGACCTATAAGCCCTAGACACGCTGATTTTACTTTAGGTTCTTGTTTTTGCTTGGTTTTTTTTTTTGGTCATAATATCATATTTTTTACTTTGAAATATCTGTAATTTTAAGGGGTATTGGGAAAGTAGTCAATTTTCTCATCATCTAAACAAACATATGACTACAAATATATATAGACTACTTTCCCAATATCCCTACAAATTTCAGATTCTTTATTAGAGTTTTTTTCTAGAGACGTTTAATTCAGATAAACCGAACTGATATAATCTGAATATAATTTTTTAAAAATCTGAAAATCGAATTAAGCTTACTAGGGATATATTGTTGATATTTTCTATATCCAATTAGTTGAAACCTAGTCTAATCATAATCGAAAAGACCATAACCATTTGCAGTTTTTCACAAAACAAAAGTTTTATGTTTAAGGGTTTTAGTGGTTTTACACATAAATTAAGAATATTTATTATTTATCTAAAAATAATATTAAAAAATTTCATGATATAATTAGTCATAAAAAGTAATTTCACATTGAAAATTAAAAGTATTATACAGTTTGTTTCTGAGAAATCACTTAATTCCAAACAGAAAATACTGTAGTTGTGTGATAAGAAGAGAACCTTGTCAAACTGATTACTTGGGCTTTTAATAGAAACGATAGGCCTAGCAACCGAGTCAAGCCTCTGATGGGCTCTGTAAAGGCCCATATGTTTTTTTGGTTTGAACTATCTTCTCCTGCAAAGTCCAAAGGCATCATCTCCTTCAGATTCCGATCTCTTGCTTCTTCTTCTTCTCCGACTCGTAATGCCGTGATATGTTGAATAAGCTATTGCAATGGCGTACGGTTCTTCTTTTTCCGTCTCATCGAGAGCTCTAGTCTTCTGCCGTCCTTGCTATGGCTCCATTAGAGACCTCCCTTTCTCCCTCCGAACGCCAACAGTTTCGTCTCCCATCACTTTTCCTCTCAAATAATCTAATGCTTTCTTCTTTGCTTTTCCTGAAAATTCAAAATAATTTATCAGATTGGGCATTGTGGCTGTGTTGGAGCTATCGCAGCACCTAGGAATCTGGTGAAACCGCGCAAGGAAGAAAGCCGTGGTGATTCTCATTTCTGAAATATTCTGATTCAATTCAATTTCACAACGCCATGATTTTCCTTTCTCACGAAGCGGGAAACTTTTTTGTTTCTCATGGAAAACGATTGAAGGTTTTAGTGGAGCACGAAGGAGTAAGGAGAAAGTAATGCCATGGAAGAAGATGGATGCTAATGAATTTGGTATACAAAGGTCCATGATCCCAGAATCTACACGGATGGTTCTCAATAAGCTCAGGAACAAAGGTAATTCACTTCTTCGTGTAAACTGTAAAGCTTACTTAGGCTCTGAGTTAGGCTTTTGATTGGATTCTTGTAGCTACAGAGTATAATGTGAACCATCTCGAGATTGCTTAATTCAGATTTTTTTTAGGCTGTCTTCTATGAAGCTTCCTTCTTTTCTGCCAAAAATCTGAAACATATGCATTTGTGGTATTCCAGGATTTCAAGTGTACCTAGTTGGAGGTTGTGTTCGGGATCTTATACTAGATAGAATCCCCAAGGACTTTGATGTTATCACTTCAGCCGAGCTCAAGGAGGTTTTTAACTCACATTATGGAAACTATAATAAATTCGTTTGTTATCCTTAAATCATCTTGTATTTCCTTAAATTTGTGAATGGATGTGTCTATAGGTACGGAAGGTATTTCCCCGCTGTCAAATTGTTGGAAGACGGTTTCCCATTTGTCATGTTTACGTCGATGACATTATCATTGAGGTTTTGTTCTACATTTCACTTATTTTACATTCATTTCTCATATCTACCTATCAGCTAAGTACGTTAGAGCTTATAAGCAGCTTTTTTCTCTCTAGTTCATAAAATTGTGTGATATTGACAGGTGTCAAGTTTTAGTACTTCAGCAAGGACTGGTAAAGCGCCTAACAAAAGCTTTAGAAAGCCTGCGGGATGCAGTGAGCGTGATTATATCCGTTGGAAGAATTGCTTACAGCGTGATTTTACAGTCAACGGGTAGGCAACACCACTATCTCTATGTGAATAGGAATAATCCATATCCAGAGCATGCATTGACATTCGTTTGTTGGATTATGTAGATTGATGTTTGATCCATCAGAGAATGTAGTGTACGACTATATAGGAGGAGTTGAAGATATAAGGAATTCTAAAGTAGGCTTTCCCAGTTTTTAAGCCATCATTCTTTATAGAAAGCCAATTGACATGTGAATGAATTGGTATCAGTCCTAATCAGTCAAAGTTGATTCTTTAGGTTAGGACAGTATCCGCAGCCAATCTTTCATTTGTCGAGGATACAGGTGAGTCACAGATGCAATGTTTTGTCATTGGAAAGGCTTCAAAACAAAAGGTAACAGTGTTCACTTTACAGCTCGCATTTTACGTGCAATTAGGATTGCGGCGAGGTTAGGATTCAGCTTGACTAAAGACGTTGCTGTTTCAGTGAAAGAGCTTTCTTCCTCCTTGCTGAGACTTGACCCTGTATGTATATCTATCTCGTTTCCCTTCTCTTCTTTCTTCTCCGTCCTGTTCTTCTTTGGACTGAGCATTTTCTCTTGTGCAGTCAAGGATCAGGATGGAACTCAATTACATGATGGCGTATGGGTCCGCAGAAGCTTCTTTACGGTTGTTATGGAGATTTGGGCTCATGGAAATTCTTCTACCTATCCAGGTGTAGTGAAATGAATCTTCTCTTAGCACGTCGAGTTATTTGATCACTCACTGTTATGTTCTATGTGTATGTGCAGGCATCTTATTTTGTTTCCCAAGGTTTCCGGAGGCGTGATGAAAGGTCCAACATGCTTCTGTCGCTATTTCGCAACCTTGACCGGCTTGTAGCACCTGATCGACCATGCAACGAGTTCTTGTGGTGAGAGAGAGATCTCATTTTGGTGTATTTATCTTAGTGATTGGTTGTTGTCAAGTTTTAACAAGTTTAGGGGACTAATAACAACAACACCACAGGATTGGGATATTAGCATTGCACAAAGCGTTAGTTGATCAGCCTCGGGATCCGAAGATAGTAGCTTCCTACTGTCTCGCCATCTACAGCGAACTTTCTTTATCAGAAGCCATCGAGATTGCAAGGAGCAACACTAAAGAGCACAACTCAAACTTCCAAGAACTGTCGGGTCACGAGAAAGACGTCGGCAAATTATCGCAGCAGGTCATAAACTTGGCAGACTCTATAAGATCAGCTGCACGGAAGATGAATGATCGAGAGTATTTGGCTAATGCAATGAGCAAATACCCGCAAGCACCGGGCTCTGATATGGTTAGTTACAGTAAAACTGAACTCTGTTGTTTCATATTCTCTTCGTTTGAGATTATTATTTTTTGTTGATTTTTCAGGTGTTTATGTCAAGACCTTTGTTGGAGAGAGTGGAGAAAATGTTTGGGAGTGTGAGAAGAAAAGGAAAAGATGAGAGAGAGGCTCCAAGTTTAGAGCGTAGGATAAACCACAAGTCACTTGCTCTTGGGGACTTTCATGAGACACGTCGTGTATTTGCTAGGATTGTTTTTGATACTGTTTATCCTCCGACTTAGAAGCCACACCAATTTTTTTCTTATTTTTCACTTCACATTCAATTTTAAGAAAGTATGAATTAAAAGTTTTGTATTATCCCGGCTTATCTTTAAAAGCCAACTAATTTTTTTTTAATAAAGTAATATTTTTGTGGCAAATTCTCTCATCAAATAAAAGTAACCTATTACTTCAACTTCGTGATGGCGATTTTCATCCGGATTTTGAAATTGGTAGCATATCTCTTACGTCGACGAAGACTTAATGCGCAAATAATTTAATGATGTGGCAAATCTTTTTGACGTAAATGGCAAATCTACTAATTTCGTAGTCCACCGTAAGCAAATCTTGAGAGTGACACTAGTTGAACATAGCCGTTTCACTAAATTCCAAACAATAATATGTCACTTATTGTTTCTGTATAAAAATTGTTAATATCTAATTCATTGATCGTTTATCTCATCGATATTCGAAAACTGTACTTTTGAGGATACCATTCTACATATACTACTCCTAGTTTGAAATCCCAAATTTTGTATTGGCCACCTCTCCTCCGAATCAGATCTCTTGAAGAGTTTAATACATTTTTTGGTCATTTTTTTAATCTACTTTTCAGTGTGCTACTAAAGTATGATTATGCAGAAAAAAGTTAGGTGTACATGAAATATGCAGATCTTAACGAATCTCTATTAATCTATTATGAATGGCAAACAGATTGTGAGATATTTCTAAAGTGATTGCTTTAGGACACTCACAACTAGGAGATCGAAAAAAATATTAAAGTTCCACTAACTTTGTAAGTAGACAAATAAAAAAGCTGCAGTAGACAAATAGAGTAGACAAATATTTCAAAGATCATAATAGTGATTAATGGTATCTAGAAGTATTATATTTGTCTCGTGCATCATGGAATGATATCAAGAGAAGTAGAGAACGTTATTATCAAGGGAACATGAGATTAAAGACAATGAGCGAAGAAGTCTAAAAAGGGTCTAGTTTGTGCTAAGTTTTGTAGATCGGTTACTTCTCTTTTGCCGCAACAATTGGAACTTTCACGACTTTAGATCAGATACAAATACAATGAGCAAAATGGAAGTACGAGTATCCTTCACTTTTCAAAAATAAAATTTTTAGGAAATGCGGAATCACGAGTATCCAACAAATTTCCGAAAATGTTACTGAAATAGAAATTGCTCACCGGACTGAGTTTCCATACAACAAATTTCTACACCATTTTTCTAACTATATAATAATACCATTACAATTTCTGAAATTATCTTATATTTTTGAAATTGGATTCTTTTAAACCGAACTATTATTTGTTTAACTAATAAATAATTAAATTGGACGAATCATTAATGATTAGCAAATGAAGAAAGTGGAAGATGATGTTTAGATGGGATTGGCGCGAAATAAGAAAAAGATTGAAAGGAGGACAGATTTGATTGGACAAAAGAAACAAAGCCTATCCACTTCTCCTTCTCTTCTCTTACCAACGAACCTTCACACTCTCTGTCGGTTCCTCTTCTTCTTCTTTTTTATTACTATTTACAAGATAATCGAAAATTTCCCAAATTCTTTTCTTTGGAATTTACAGCAGTTTTTATTTTTCTTAAATGAAATCAAATAGATTTCAATCTCCCAAGCCGAAACCTTCGCTCCTGTCTGATTATTCTCGCTTGAAGAAGATTTGATACCCCTGAGGATCTTAACGAGGTATGCATTTCTTGTCTTTCAAAATCTTGTATTTTTTCTTTAAGCATTGGTAATGTAGTGGTTCTGTGAATCGCTCGTTTTTTATTGTTTGATTCTTTTTTTCATCTGCGGACACGTGAATGCAACAGTTTCTGGGTTACACTCTGTTCAATTTTGTTTCTAATAATAGATTCCACCAAATGGTTTTGCTGTTTTTCTTTTCTTTCCAAAATTATTTAAGAAAAATATCTTAGGAATCTGGATAGGAGTTGGAATTTCAAGAAAAAATCTCTATTTATTTCAGAACATTTTCTCGCAAAGGAATATGTATACTCAAATTAGATGTCACAGTTTAAAAAAAAAGTATACAACTTGGAAAATGATTGTGTTTATGATTCAATTATTCCTTTTTTGCTAAGTTTCATTGATTGAATGTGTTGCAAATTCTAAAAATGTTTTTAATGTCACTTATGGTTCTTTGCTGATTGGATAAAGTCTCTAGTTAGATTGTATCTCTCCATGGACGTTGATGAAGGGAAGATTTCATCTGGATATGCTAAGCCTCCATGGATATTCAAAGGAAGGCAAGAAAACCCTTTTTTTCTTTAAGCTTTTTCAAGAATCTCTCAAGTCTTTCTTCTACTTTGCTGAGTTTTTCCATCTTATTCTGCTTTTCAGTGCGTTGTACCAGATTCACCTTGTGAAAGCTGCGACTGCTCGAGCCTTCATCCCCAAGGAGTTTCGACTTGTTGAAGCTTTTGGGTATTTAAAAAAAGCTTCTTCTCTGTTTTAAAAAATCATCTTCTTGAAAAAACTGTTTAAACTATTATTGCTCCTGGTGTGATTCTCAGATACACTCTTGGTGGGTTTTTCCTCGCTAGCTATGATGATAGCCCTGCTGGTGTCTTTGATGAGGTCCCTCTCTCTCTCTCTCTCTCTCTCTCTCTCTCTCTCTCTCTCTCTCTCTCTCTCTCTCTCTCTCTCTTCTTGCCATTTTCTTACTCTTTAACATTCTTAATGTAACCTGTAGAGGTGACTGAAACTATTGATCTCTTGTTTGTTTCCTCAGCTTGTTGTGATTGCAGGGATTGTATGGAACCCTCCTACATCATGCGCGTATGTTTGTTTATTCTTCTCCTTTGTTGCACTAATAGAATCATTCTTTCTTTTTAGTAAAGCAGAATTTGAAGTCAAGTGACCAAGTTGGAGAATAAATATTCTGTTGATTAGATTCATGCTTATCAAAAACATTTTGAGTTGTGAAGTGATCTTTTTCTTTCTTTTATCCTTTCAGATGGGCCGCGAGGGTGCTTGTGAACAGCAATGAGGCTTGTCATCATGGACGCAAGGTAGGTGGGTCTCTTTGTTTTCATATCAATGGAATGTTGAGATATTGAGGAGGGTGATAATTTTTTTTTAATATAATAACATTTGGGTGGTGGTGTTTGCAGGAAGTAGGACTTCCAAGCCAAGTTGCAAGATTTTCAAAGGTTTAGTGTCTTACTTTAGTCTTAAAAGTGGTTTAGCTTATGATTATTACTGATTATGCTCTCATCTCAGTAAATGGAGTAAGTTTTTGTTTCTCTTTTAACTACCAAATGAGGAAAACAAGATTACTTTTGAAAAGGAAGTGTTTTTGTCAACATAAACTGGAGGCAAACATTGTGTCTTGATGACTTCTTTTTACTTTCTGGTTTGAGTAAAAGTGATTTTTTGTGGTTGGGAACAGAGAATCACAGCAGTTCCAAAGCGGAAAAGGGAAAGAGCTTTTGGTTTCTTGAACACATATGGGTTGGGAACTAGTCTGTCTCATTCTGAGGATTTGGTGGAGGTTAAGGTTAGTGAAGTTGATGGTGCTGCTTCTGCAGATATCTGCAACATCCAAACTAGATCGGATGGTGAGTTTCTAGCTAACTTAAGCTCTATTCTGACAAAACTCATGTCATGTTTAGATATCTAACTATGGTCTTAAACTGGCCACTTCAGAATCAGAGACCAAACACAGAAGCTGGATGGGACCCGCAATCAAAATGTCCCTCCCAAGTTTTAGGTAAAAAAGTTTGGTTCTTGTGATATAGTTTTTACTGTAGACTTCTTGGCTCGCAAGCTCATCAAGAATGTCAAATCATTTGCAGTGGCAATACAAAGTACAACTCAAACCTGCTCAAATACTCATGCCATCTCCACTGCAGGTTTTTGTTTCTACTTTAGGACAATCTCTCGATAGAACTAGAGAATAACGAAGAACGCTTATTAGAATGAATCTTGCAGGGTGAGGCCGGTGAGACCTGCGGTTGTATCAGGGTCTTTGGAAGAGGAGGTAGAGAATCATACATCGCAAGAATCACTTGAAAATGAAAGGCGGTTAAGCGTGGCAGTGATGCTATCGAAACCAATAATAGCTCTTCAGTTCAAATGCTTAACAATGCAAGTAGAAGCCCCTGTTGTAGTTTGCCCCTCATTGTAAAAACACAACACTCAAATTCCAAGAACATACAAATACAATTACCTTCCTACAAAGGTCCACATCTTTACAAAAACAAATCTTTCAGCTTTTTTTTTTCCGCCATTTCTAGGATAAACCCTTTTGCCAAAATCTTACATAAAATAGATGTCTTCGATCACGTTGAAGAGATCCCTCTCAAGGTACATAAGATAGATGTCTTTATTAGAATATCAACATATGGAATGCATATATTCCTATATGTAAATTAGGCAACATTGTTAATAGCCTCTAATGGCTCTATTGTACAGATCTCCTATATATTCTGATGAATGAAATGAGAAGGATCAGCGATCCAATTATACCTAAACTAACATGGTATCAGAGCATACCTATTAGAAACTCTTCCGCCGCTGTCATTTTTTTTTTTTCTCTTCTCTTCTCTTCTCTTCTCTTCTCGTATCTTCATTTTTTTACGACAATGGCTGCAACAGCGCCTGTCACTGATCGATCACTCAGCCTTACACAAATCAAGGCTCATATCCCAATTACCTTGGATATGAATCAGATGAATTATGATATATGGCGTGAGCTCTTTGAAACTCATTGCCACAGTTTCAACGTGCTTAGTCATCTCGATGGCTCCTTAACATCGACCGGACCCGAAGACACCACATGGTCTCAGACAGATGGAACTGTCAAGATGTGGATCTACGGAACCATTTCGGAATCGCTCCTAAAATTGGTTCTCAAGACAAAGTGCACAGCATCGGAGCTCTGGACGACGATCGAGAACCTGTTCCGCGACAATAAAGAAGCTCGTGCAATACAACTCGAAAATGAGCTCCGACAGCTGCAGATCTGAGACCTCTCTGTACATGATTACTGTCAGAAGTTGAAAACCCTCTCCGATCTCCTCGCCAATGTGAATTCCCCGATCTCCGATAGGGTTTTGGTGATGCATTTGCTTAATGGACTTAGCTCCAAATTTGATAACATTCTCAATGTTATTAAGCATCGTTCTCCGGCGTGCACGTTCAGTGAAGCCCGTTCCATGCTCAAAGATGAGGAAGCCCGGTTAAGCACAAAACGCCAGGTCTCCTCCCCATCTCATGATAACGCCTCTTCTCCTCAAATCCTCATGGCGTCATCCGCACCAGCGCCTACGCACACACCGCGACCTAACCACAACTCCGCACCACCATACCCACCGAATTACCCATCGAGCTACGGCAATCGCAATGCTCGTGGAAACCGTGGTGGCCGGAATCAACGCGGTCGTGGCGGCGCTAATTGGCAAGGAGGGAACTGGAATAATGGGCCGTCTCAAATGAGCTGGAATAATGGGCCTTCTCCTCCATGGGCCTGGTCCAACAATCCTCCCTGGCCCATGTCTCCACCTTGGCAGAATCAGCCTCAGTGGCCCAATCCGTGGTCCATGCCTCCAGCTTGGCCTGCCTATCCACCAGCTCCAGCCACCTCATCACAACAACCATCGTTTGGTCTGCTCGGAAACAATCCGCGAACGGCATATCTCTCCACTCACAATCCCGCCGCCGTTGCGCAAGCACCGCCTCCGGCGCCAAATTCCGAGCTGATTCCAACCACGTTGGCTCACGCATTCAACACCAACACCTTGTCAGATCCAACGGATGCCGGCTGATACATGGATACAGGAGCCACAACGCATCTCACGGCGCAACCGGGTAAAATCTCGACTATTACCTCTCCGGCTGACTTACCTTTAATTACAGTTGGCAATGGAGCGCTTATTCCTGCCACTACAATTGGTCATGCCTCAATTTTATCTCCTTTACGTCCATTACTTCTTAAGAATGTTTTAATTTGTCCAAAGATTCTCAAAAATCTGATTTCAGTTCGTCAATTTACTTGTGATAATCGTTGTTCTGTTGAGTTTGACCCATTTGGTTTTGTTGTTAAGGATCTCATAACACGAACACCCCTCATCCGTTGCAATAGCAATGGCCCTCTCTACGCTGTCTCTCCACCGTCTCCGATAGCGTATCCACAGGCGTTCCTCACCTCGACATCCTCCACCATCTGGCATCAAGGACTAGGTCATCCAGGCGATAATGTTTTACGTTTTTTATCTGCTTCAGGTTTCTTACATTGTTCTAAGCCTGATGTCTCTTCCCTCTGTCATGCGTGCCAAATTGGGAAGCACATCCGGCAACCTTTTTCTACTTCTGAAAATTTAGTTTCTTCTCCATTTGACATTATACACTCTGACATTTGGACTTCACCTGTATCGAGTGTTAGTGGAATAAAATTTTATGTCATTTTTCTTGATCAGTTTTCGCATTTTGTGTGGATTTTTCCTTTACGCAGAAAAAGTGAAGTGTTTTCCAAGTTTTTAGAGTTTGTCAATTTTATCAAAACTCAGTTTCAAAAAACAATCAAAGCTTTTCAATGTGATAATGGTGGTGAGTTTAACAATCGCCACATGTTAGATTTCTTTTCAACTCATGGGATACAACCTCGGTTTTCTTGTCCGTACACATCCCAAAGAATGGGAGAGCAGAACGCACTTTACGCACCATTAACAATCTGCTACGTGCTCTATTGTTTCAAGCAAACTTACCCAATACATATTGGGTTGAGGCTTTAAATATGGCTGCTCATCTTTTTAATATTCTTCCATCGTCTGCAATTGAAAATGATATTCCTTACACTCGGCTTTTTAACAAACCTGTTTCTTATTCTCACCTTCGTGTTTTTGGTTGCTTATGTTATCCAAATCTTTTGCCTACCTCTGAAAATAAATTATCTCCACGTTCCACAAAATGCATTTTTTTAGGATATCCACCTAATCACCGTGGTTATAGGTGCCTTGATCTCACATCTCGTCATATTATTCTCTCACGTCATGTTGTTTTCGATGAGAAGGTGTTTCCCTTTGTAGGTACAACTCATGCTCCTCAGCCACATCTCCTCGCAGCACCATCTACATATCCTCCGATCATCACCAGCATTCCGGCAGCCGTACAAACGCCTCCTGCAACACCAAAGGTTGCTCCGAACCCTCAGCCAGAGGTAGATCCAACCCATCAGCCAGAGCCGACACCAACACCGGAGCCACCACCACCGGAGCCAACGCCACCACCGGAGCCGACACCACCACCGGAGCCGACACCACCACCGGAGCCTACTCCAATACCTCCACCACCAGCTCCTTCTGATGCAGCTCCGGCGGGGCCGCCACCACAACGGATGCACACTCGTAGCCGTAGCGGGATTACGAAACCCAAACAGATCCTCTCCCTCCACACCGATGTCATCTCACCACTTCCGACATCTCATCTAGTTCCTCGTCATATGATCCCACCGAATGCTAACATTGTGAGATCTATGTGGTTATATACTCACAAGTTTCGTGCAGATGGTACGTTGGCTCGACACAAAGCTCGCCTCGTTGCAAACGGAAAATCTCAACAAGTTGGTATAGATTGTGAAGAAACATTCAGTCCGGTCATCAAACCTACCACCATCCGTACTATCCTTGACGTGGCGGTATCTCGAGATTGGCCGCTTCACCAACTTGACGTTAAGAATGCGTTTCTCCATGGAAACTTGGAGGAAACCGTCTATATGCATCAACCGGCGTGTTTTGTAGATCCCTCCAAACCCGATCATGTGTGCCTCTTGAAAAAATCCATGTACGGATTGAAACAATCACCCAGGGCGAGGTATCAACGTTTTGCTCAAGTTGCCACAAAGATGGGGTTTACCAATAACAAGTGTGACACATCTTTGTTCATTCTTCGCCGCGGATCTGATATTGCGTATCTGCTCTTATACATTGATGATATCATCCTCACTGCTTCCTCCACAACCCTTCTCAGGTCCATCATTTCCTCTCTTAAAACTGAATTCCCAATGTCTGATCTTGGTTACTTGCACTACTTCCTGGGAATTGTTGTTCGCAGGGACAAGCACGGACTCTTTTTGGATCAATGGAACTATGCCGCAGACATACTCCATCGTGCCAACATGTCTCATTGCAAACCATGCAACACTCCCGTGGATACATCGGCCAAACTCCACGCTGACGTCGGCCAACCAGTTGCAGATGCCACTCTGTATCGGAGCCTAGCTGGAGCCCTTCAGTACCTTACCTTCACCAGACCAGACATCGCTTATGTAGTCCAGCAGTCCATCGTGCCAACATGTCTCATTGCAAACCATGCAACACTCCCGTGGATACATCGGCCAAACTCCACGCTGACGTCGGCCAACCAGTTGCAGATGCCACTCTGTATCGGAGCCTAGCTGGAGCCCTTCAGTACCTTACCTTCACCAGACCAGACATCGCTTATGTAGTCCAGCAGATTTGCCTTTACATGCATGCACCTCGCGAGCCACACTTCAATGCGTTAAAACGCATCCTCCGCTATATCAAGGGCACTATCACTCAGGGATTACATATCACACCGTCAAACACCACAACTTTGACGGCGTACACTGATGCGGATTGGGCCGGATGTCCTAATACCCGCCGTTCCACGTCTGGTTATTGCCTATACCTTGGAGATAACCTCATCTCGTGGTCTTCTAAACGACAGCAAACGGTATCACGTTCAAGTGCCAAAGCAGAATATCGCGGTGTTGCCAATGCTGTCGCTGAAACCGTTTGGGTCCGCAACCTTCTCCTTGAGATTCATTGTCCCATCACAACAGCTACATTAGTCTACTGCGACAATGTGAGTGCGGTTTATCTCTCAACTAATCCTATACAACATCAACGCACCAAACATGTTGTGATCGACATTCATTTTGTCCGCGAAAAGGTGGCTCTCGGCCAAGTACGAGTGCTCCATGTTCCGTCATCACACCAATATGCGGATATCTTCACCAAAGGCTTGCCCTCCGCTTTGTTTCAAGACTTCAGGTCCAGTCTTCGCGTAAGAGAACCTCACGCTTTGACTGAGGGAGGGTATTAGAATATCAACATATGGAATGCATATATTCCTATATGTAAATTAGGCAACATTGTTAATAGCCTCTAACGGCTCTATTGTACAGATCTCCTATATATTCTGATGAATGAAATGAGAAGGATCATCGATCCAATTATACCTAAACTAACAGTCTTGAATCTGTTCCTCTACTGTAGCTGCCTCACGGTCACTCTGCAAAACACGGTAAAAATAAAAACTTCATCAATGAATAAAAAAAAAAAAAAACTTTATTACCTTAGACATAAATCAAGTCAGATGAAACGTGTCCTCGCAGTGATTGCACGTGTAAATGCCAGCAGCGTCGTAGCTTGATCCATAAAGAGAACATCTCTGATCTTCAGAGTCAGGGAAACTGTCGGTGACAGCATGTCGATGAAGCTGGCTCTTCACATCCCATGGAAACCCAACACACTCCACATGGCCACAGAAGTTACAGTCACTACTTACACAACCATAGAACGACTTACCGCAGGGTCTAGCGCACACACTGCACTCTCGAGTTGAATCCTCCTCCCAATAGTTATAGAGATTATGCTGGTGGAACCCTCCTGCTCTTGATCCACTCGCCGCTTCTTCGATGCATTTCAAGTGGAAACTGGCCTTGCATGTGTGACATTCATAGCTATACTTTGCAATATTCTCTTTGCACACAAGGCACTTGGATCCTCCGCTTGCGATCGAAAGGCTAAGAATGTAGCAGCAATGAATCGGATGGTTGTGTATATCTTTCCTCTCAACTTGGATACACCGAGGATGATACAAATCTCCACAGGCCATACATGAAACAATTCTCCCACTCAACATCTTTTCACAAACGGCACAGAAGAACGTGTACGACCCTGGAAATGGAAACTTGATACAAGGGATGTTTCTCTACTATGCAAAACCCTCCCCAGTTTCCAATAACTGTCTGCCCTCTATGTAACGCTCCGATAAACTGTTTACCTTTTAAGACGCAACTGATATGAATGATGAAGTTGCATACATGACAGAAGAGATTGAAATCAGATATTTCCTTGCTGCAGATGCCACATTCCACAGCTTGATATGTTGGAGGGCATGGAAGGAGAGTCAAAGGGTGGTTCGGATGAAACTCATGTATTGATGGCCACCCTAGCTCTGCGCAGAAGTGATGTGACTGGAAGCTGCATGTCTCGCATTTACAAGGGCTGCTACATATTTCTCCTCCACAGATGTCACACTTTGCTTGTTCCAAAAGCTCACTCATCTTGCACGGTATCATCACATGAATATGTTCCTCGCCATTAACCTGCAACATGTACCTTAACCAATTGAGCCTAGACGAAAGAAAGTAGGGCACTGTTTTACTCCCTCTGTCCCATATTATAAGCAGTTTGAGAAAATGTATTTGCAAAAAATGGATGTATTTGGATTTGCATCCATATACATCCACTTTTTTACAGATACATTTTCCCAAACTGCTTATAATATGGGACACAGGAAGTATATGTTAAGAGTAAAGTATATCATACCATAAATGTGGTCTTAAATTTGTTGGTTTGACAATCTTGTCGACTTGTTAGCCTTGCGAATTCTTCGCCACAAGAATCCAAATCTTTCAAGTACAACGGAGAAGGTCTTTCCTGATTGATTATGAATAATGCTACCTCATCGTTGCCATGATCGCAATTATCAACAAAATTGTAATGAGAATTTATCTTACCTTACGTAGACAACACTCAACATGGCCAAGAAAATCACATTCTTTGCATGAATAAACTCTGTGCTCCGTGTGTATAATTGTCTCACAAACGCCACAATACTCCGTTGCACTAGACCCGGCAATGAATGTTTTACACCTAAGCGGATGAATGTGAAGACGTTTCTTGACCCTGAACTCAGGTATCTCAAGACACTCCAAGTGAAAGTTCCAACCACATTCTACGCAGTAATAATAAATTTCCAGAGAGATCACTTCTGTTCCGTTGCATACGTGACATGGACCGTCTTCTCCAAAACTCTCGCTATCATCAGTAGCAGCTCTACAGAACATTTTGTGTTCATGAGATTTGTGAACTGCACGGGATGCTGAATCTCTGTTGGAAGATGAAGGCAACGCTCGTGGAAAAACAAGTAACAATGAACGCAGCCGTAACAAATGGCAGAGGGAGAGAGAGGAAGCTCGCAGAGAAGGCAAGAAGAAGAAGAAACGTTGGCATTTGGTCCTGGTCTGCACCTCCTAAGGATATGGCAATGGCTATCATGGAACTTCTCCGTGGCGTCCCAACACCTAAAGATGTTCTCCATGAGCGCACAGCCCAGATCCAAGTAGATCTCACATTTCTTACACTCGTAGCGAGACCCAATGAACATGTTTCCACAACCAGAGCAGACCATGTATCTAGTCTCCCCATCATCATCTTCTTCGCCTAAACACAGCTCCAGAGGGTGCTCTGGGTGAAAATCATGCGACATCTCCTGCAACCGATTGGAGCAGACTTTGCAAATATCGAAATTGCAAGCTCCACAGGTTCATCTTTGTAGCAAATGTTGCAGATGCCGTATGTGATCATCTCATTATTCTCAGGCGAGGTCAACGCACATGGGAGAAATGCTGGAGCACAACCTCTGTCATGGCGTTGGGAGAGGAACCAAACAAAGTCAACAAGAGAAACTTGAAAGATGAGATCCAAATGGAGTTACTAGTTAGTATTATTAAATACTAGTAGTAGCCAGCCAAGACTGATTTAAATAGTCTTTTGGACAAAGACCCATACAAAGCCTCTGTTTTTCTCGTTTTTGTAATGAGTAAAAAATAACTTGGTAAAAGAAAACGCTGAGAAACCTTGGATACGACCACAACTGAATCAAAAGATATGAAAGTGAAGCTACAAAAAAAAACACATTTCTGTAATTACACAGAATGAAAGAAATCCAGCGACAGAGTTGATACAAGGAAAGAGGGAAGAGACAACAAGCAACCATGAGTCCATGGCCATTTATCAGAAAAAAGCTCTCCGACTCGAGGCCAGCAATCCAAAACCAAACTATACACATAAATCAAATAAGAATACTAAAAGGAGCTTTTGGAGTGATGTATGCTACAAATTGTCTTCTTTTTCACCATATCGCAATCTAAGTACATAAGATAGATGTCAATAAGCTGTTCCTCTTCTGTTGCTGCTTCACGGGTATCCTGTGTGACACCAAACCAAAAAAAGGAGAGAAGAATAAATGGTTTGGATTCTACAACAGGAGATATCTATTATAATATGTTTACCATGGATATTAAGCATTCCTTGTGAAAGAAGACCTCACAGTGTCTGCATAAATACATTTCAGCATAGCGTTCTAATCCACACAGAAAACATGTCCTGACCCTGGACCAAGTTAGGTCGACAGTGTGTCGATGTTGTTGACTCTTCACTTTCTCTGGATGCCCAATACACTCTCCATGAGCCTTAAAGCTACAGAAAATACAGCCGTAGAACGATGCACCACAAGGCCTATTGCAAACTCTACACGGTCGAGTCAACGACGAATCATTGCTCCAAAATTTATATAGATAGTGCTTGTGAGACTTGGTATATTCTGCTGTACTCGCCGCCGCCTCGATGCATTCAATATGGAAACTGATATCGCATTTATAGCAATTAAAGCCATACTTGGACATCTTCAGTTTGCAGGCAACGCAATTGCTTCCACGTTGAAGATCTAGTTTAAGCATGTGCTCAGCATGAAGTGGATGACCAACTAGTTTTTGTCTCCCAAGTTCAATACACCGAGAATGATATATCTCTCCACAGTCCATACATGACACAACTTTTCCGCCGAGCGTCCGATTACAAAGAGTGCAAGCAACACGATATGACCTCGAGACAACAACTTGAGACAAAGGATGGCAGTTTTTTACGCAATGTCCTTCCGCAGTTCCAATGACTTTCTGGCCTCTATTTAACATGCCAAGAAATTGCTTACCTCTGACAATGCACCTTATGCATATGCTGAAATTGCATGTGCGACAGAAGAGATTGAATCCATATATTTTCTCTTTGCAGGTGTCAAAATATGGTTCGGATGAATTCGAAGTGTTGATAGCCTACCCAGCTCTCCACAGTAGTGATGTGCATGGAAACCGCAGGTCTGGCATCTCCAGCCATTAACACTTATTGCTTCATTACACATGTCGCAATTTTCATATTCGTCCATGCCAACAGATATCATCACATGAATATAGTCGAGTCCATTAACCTACAACATAAACATTGAGAAAAGATTAATGTTTTGCACTAAAATTTCTTTCACACCTATTATAAATACATACCATTAGTTTGTTTTCTAGTTCGTTGGTTTCAGAGTCTTGTTGATTAGTTGATCTCGTGATAACTTTACCACAAGAATACAGATCTTTCAAGTACAATGGGGAAGGCACAACCTGTTATTCAAAAGTGTGAGTACTAGCTAATCATCCCCTTTCATTACCATGGCAACTAACAAAACTGAAAAAAAATTTCAAAAGATTTGTATGGTTTACCTCGCGTAGAATGCATTCAATGTGGCCAAGAAAATCGCATTCTTGGCAAGAATAAACATGATGTCCTCTGTGTACCATTGTCTCACAAACGCCACAATACTCCATAAAATCATCTTCCGCTAAGAATTTACTGCACACGAGTGGGTGAATGTGAAATTTCTGCTTTAGCACAGACTCAAGTATCTCAAGACATTCGAAATGACCCAGCCAATCACATTGCATGCAGTAAAACGAGTCTTCATAGATCACACCTTCCTTCTTGCACATTTTACATCGACCGTCAAGAAAATAATTTTCACCATCAGTAGATTTGTAAAACAACTTGTGGTGATGAGACTTGTGCACAAGGCCTCGCAACAAGGAATCTGCACACCTGAGGTGTAGATCAAAAGCACACTCTCCGCAACTAAACGGTATGCCAACGATGCTGACGTTGCAAGCATCGCAAACTCTTCCATCACCAAGAACTTGTGTGTAATCGAGTCGTCTAAGAGGGTATTCAAGATGCGCGGGATGTTGAATCTCTTTCGGAAGATGGAAGCAGCGCTCGTGAACAAACGAGTAACAGTGAACACAACCGTAACATATGGAAGAGGGAGAGAGGGGAAGCTCGCAGAAAAGGCAAGAAGAAGAAGAAGTTTTGGCATCTGGTCCTGGTCTGCACCTCTTAAGCTAGTGGCAATGGCTTTCATGGAGCTTTTCTGTGGCGTCCCAGCACCTGAAGATGTTCTCCATGAGCGCACATCCCAGATCAAGATAGATCTCACACTCTTTGCACTCGTAAAAGGATCCGGAACACATGTCCCCACACCCTGAGCAGATGACGTGGCCCGGTTTGCGGTCGTATTGGCGAAGGAAGAACTCCAAAGGGTGCTCAGGGTGGAAATCATGTGAGACTTTCTCTGGCAGTTCAGAGCAAGCTTCACATATATCGAAATTGCAACGGCTACAGGAGAACGCGACAGGTCCATCTTTCAAGCAAATGTTGCAGACATCGTCACCGACCATCTCCGGCAAGGTCAACGTACATTCGTGGGAGAAATGCTTCAACTCTGCCATAGCCGTGGCCCGTGGGAGCACGAAAGTCAACGAAAAAGAAACGCAGGATCAGATCCAATTAAGTACAGTTGTTATATAAATAAACTAATATCTAACTGCCAGCGAAGAAAACTTGTGTTCAGATAAGCAAATGTAATGAAAGGGGATGATAAATTATTATTTGTTTATAGAGTATCAACTTTGCAAGTGTTAAATGTGAACTCGGAAGTTCATCTTTGTAACGAATGTCATGATAGAAGATCTCAGTTGAGATCAAAGTCCCAACTGATGTAGACACTGAAGCAACTCAACAAGTCAAGCACACAGAATCATATGATCTAAACACATTTCTTTACCAGCCAAATGAAGATATACAAAACAACTTATTAGCAGATGTATCCTCTTGTAGGTAGTCAGAGGTGAACTCACATCAAAGACTCAAAACCAACATAATCCCTCACAAACTGAACAGAATATGAAACCGTACAAAAAAGAAATCTCAGACACAATCACCTTACTGTTTTGTATGACAAAGGTCTAGCTCAAGTCATGAATCTGTGAAGGACCGTTTTCCACTTCATCAGTGTTAACGTCTCCAATTGTAGACATCATAACTCTAAATATCCTCTTTAAACCGACTTTTCCTAAATTTCTTTCATCTCCCATTAACCCTTCAAGCTTCAAGTCCTTTAGAAGTAACTCCTTCTCATGTTCCTGTTTCCAGTTTTTAATAACCAAAACACCGAGATTTTTAGCTTCAGAAACCATTAAAAATAACAAACCGAGGAAGCCAAATCCGTAGAAGGTTTACTTACCGATATGTTAGGATTCATATAAACCTTTTAGAAGAGACTTCATGGATGGATATGTCTTCCACACTCCTACAGCATATCTTGTCTGCACCTTTGGTATTGCTACTAACGCTTTTAACCTATAGACCCAACACAACACACCCTTACATTTGAAAGTAAACACAACATAAAATTATAATGGTTTTTACACTTTTCTTTACCATGGACGCTTTTTAAACAGTTGCTTCTCAACTGGATCCATAGAGGGTGGTACCACACCGGCAGCTTTTACTGATAACCAAGATGACTTCTTCCTGTGCATCATATTGTAGAACCGTGATTAGTTTGCTTCATAACCAAACAGAAACACAATAGCCAGAACCACACAGCCACAACTATATGTGTATCAAGTGTAAGTTCAACTTCTAGGTTACTCTGAGCTTTCAGATTCGGTCCATTTAATTTACTTTACAGCCATGTAAGAATTAAGACTAACAAGCCTTACTTCCCACTTTTTTCATGAAGATCTTTTGAGGTCAACATTATTCCATAAACTTGTTAACCGTGTGGTTTGGATGGACGTCAGGGGTTTCTATCAAGAGATTAATTGGTTTGATTGGTCTAATAGGACACTGGAAAGAAACCGAAACGTCCATCGAGCATCATATCAAGAAATCGAAATAGCGTAGGTAATTAGTACCTGGTTTGGCAAGGGGCCAGGCTGCTTGTTAAACCAAAAACATGTTCGGCGACCTCAGCCTCGTCAACACAGTGTCTGGAATGCACTCCAACGTAGTGAGTAGTAAGTTAAAGAAGGCAAAGAAAGACCAATAAGGATGTTTTTCCCTAAGCATGGTCGTTAAGAACTGTAGTACCTCATCGATAGGAGGCCGTCTCCAACCATTGGATTTCCCCAAGTTCTTATACTCTTCCTTTTTCTCTAGAAAATCGGTTTTATTCAGCTTCAAGATGGAAACACTAATGCAAAGAAAATTCATCTCATCAAACTCAACCTTTTCTTTACGTAGGACATTAACTTATTGGTGAGGTAGCACACTTCGTAAGATGGGTACTACTGGTCCCCAACTCTCGAGATGTTTTCTAGGATGCTTTCATTCGCAACAAGATTGCAAAAGTCTTCAGCCTCATACACAACTACAACATATGGAATCTTGCCTCCAAGGGAAGCCAAATGAAGTATTAAACCAGGGAAGTAGATTTGTAAAACAGCTTGTGGTGATGAGATTTGTGCACAAGGCCTCGCAACAAGGAATCTGCACACCTGAGGTGTAGATCAAAACCACACACTACGCAGCTAAACGGTATACCAACGATGTTGACGTTGCAAGCATCGCAAACTCTTCCATCACCAAGAACTTAGTGTGTAATCGAGACGTCTAAGAGGGTGTTGAAGATGCGCGGGATGTTGAATCTCTTTCGGAAGATGGAAGCAGCGCTCGTGAACAAACGAGTAACAATGAACACAACCGTAACATATGGAAGAGGGAGAGAGGGGAAGCTCGCAGAGAAGGCAAGAAGAAGAAGAAGCTTTGGCATCTGGTCCTGGTCTACACCTCTTAAGCTAGTGGCAATGGCTTTCATGGAGCTTTTCCGTGGCTTCCCAGCACCTGAAGATGTTCTCCATGAGCGCACATCCCAGATCAAGATAGATCTCACACTCTTTACACTCGTAAAAGGATCCAGAACACATGTCACCACACCCTGAGCAGATGACGTGACCCGGTTTCCGGTCGTATTGGCGAAGGAAAAACTCCAAAGGGTGCTCAGGGTGGAAATCATGTGAGACTTTCTCCGGCAGTTCAGAGCAAGCTTCACATATATCAAAATTGCAACGGCTATAGGAGAACGCGACAGGTCCGTCTTTCAAGCAAATGTTGCAGACATCGTCGCCGACGGTCTCCAGCAATGTCAACGCACATTCGTGGGAGAAATGCTTCAACTCTGCCATAGCCGTGGGAGCACGAAAGTCAACGACAAAGAAACGCATGATCAGATCCAACTAAGTACAGTTGTTATATAAATAAATTAATATCTAACTAAATAAATTTGTACCCAAGTTCAAATTCGGTTGGGGTTGGACTTTTTCGACGGCGGAGTAACCACATCCGACGAGGATCGCTCATGACAAAATCCCAAGGAGAGAGAGAGAGAGAGAATTAGAAACTCACAGTGTACTGAGGACGCTTCAAACGAAGGCGGGACTATCGAATCGATAAAAGATGCAGTGATGACGATAGTGTTTGGTTATACAGTTTTTTTGTCTACTATTGGGCTATACTCATATACTAAGCCCATATGTCTAGGGTTTACGGTTAAACCGTCATATGTATCGTATATATATCTTGTGTACAAAGTTGATAATCAAGAAGAAAGCATACATTCATTGAATTCTACATGGTATCAGAGCAAAATCCTAAACTAGGGTTTTAGCTTTCTCTGTTTTTCGTTTCTTTCTTTTCATTGATCTCAAGTTCGAACGTTTTGCTTCTCCGTTCGTTCTTCTTTCTTTTGACTTTGATATTGATCTATCATGGTCGTTGGTGATGGTTCTGATGGTGCCGTCGTGCCGCAACGTGCTGGTAATTCCACCGTTGATGCATCTATGTCTTTGTCTTCCACAGACAATCCAGGAACTATGATTACCTCCGTTTTGTTGGCTGGAGAAAACTACAATGAATGGGCTTCGGAGATGCTGAATGCTCTTCAAGCTAAGAAAATAATTGGGTTTATTGATGGATTGCAGTGAATTCCACAGCTCCTGGTAACGATCAGGAATCATGGATTGCAGTGAATTCCATGGTCGTGGGATGGCTCCGAACATCTATCACACCTCGTGTTAGATCTACGGTGTCGTTCATTACGGATGCTCACAATTTGTGGGAAAATCTGAAGGAACGTTTTTGCGTGGGAAACAAGGTTCGTGTTCATCATCTTCGAACACAGATTGCTTCGTGCCGACAAGACGGACAGCCTGTAATTGATTATTACGGCAAGCTTCAATCGATGTGGGATGAACTTTACTTGTACAAGCCTCTTCCAGCATGTACGTGTTCTGCAGTTCATCAATATGCAAAGGATCGGGAAGAAGAAAAAGTTAACAAATTTGTGATGGGACTTGATGAGTCTCGGTTTGGGAATGTGATTCAAGCTATTGTTGATGCGGATCCATCGCCTGATTTGGCACAAGCATACGCACGCGTGATCCGCGAAGAACAGAGACTTCTCAATGCCAAGGCACGAGAAACTCAGACTGATGCAGTTGGATTTGCTACTCGGCGTGATTCGTCGATGGAGATGGTGCAGCAACAGCTCACGGCCTGGAATCCACAAAACAAGAACAAGGAACGCAGCAATCTTCTTTGTTCTCATTGTGGAAAAACAGGACATGAGAAAGCCTTTTGCTGGCAGATAATCGGTTTTCCGGAGTGGGTTACCGAACGAGCTGGACGTGGTGGTGGTGGAAGAGGAGCAAGCAGAGGTGGTCGTGGTTCTGTTTCGCTTGGACGTGGTCGAGGTCAAGCGAATGTGGCACACGCTACGTCGAGTAATGCCTCTGTTTTTCCAGAATTCACAGCAGAACAATGGAAGGCAATTAGCCTGATGGCACAAACACAATCTGGTGGAGGAAATCCCGACAAGCTGTCTGGTAAGAGATTTGGTGATGTTATTATCGACATAGGTGCCTCTCATCACATGACAGGAAATTTATCCTTGTTATGTGAAGTCACAATCACGCCACCTTGGTCTATTGGCTTTGCTGATGGCAGTAAAACGATGTCGATGTGTATGGGTGTATTTCCAATCACTGACGTGATATCACTTCAGAATGTGCTTTATGTCCCAGATTTGAATTGCACTCTGATTTCGGTTTCTAAGCTTTTGAAACAGATGAAGCATTGTTTTGCTACATTCACTGATACTTTGTGTATGTTATAGGACCGTTCCTCGAGGACCCTGATTGGAGCCGGTGAAGAACGGGATGGTGTGTATTATCTGACGGATGTGACAACAGTTCGAGCTAACAAAGTGGACGCGGTTTCTGATCAAGCTTTGTGGCATCGGCGTTTGGGACATCCTGCTTTCTCAGTGTTTTCGGCTTTACCTTTTTCTGATATTTCGCGTTCTGATGCTAGTCCGAGTCCTTGTGATGTGTGTTTTCGGGCTAAGCAAACAAGAGAAGTTTTTCCTGAAAGTTTGAATAAAACAATGGAATGTTTTGAATTGATCCATGTTGATGTTTGGGGTCCATATCGAGTTCCTTCTAGCTGTGGTGCTTCTTATTTTTTGACTATTGTTGATGATTTCTCTCGATCTGTATGGATTCATCTATTACTTGCAAAGTCTGAAGTACGGCAATTTTTGCAAAAATTTTGTGCTTATTCGGAGAAACAGTTTGGAAAAACTGTCAAGACCATTCGTAGTGACAACGGTACTGAGTTTACCTGCTTATCTTCGTTCTTTAAAGAACATGGGATTATGCATCAAACGTCATGTGTAGCTACACCGCAACAGAATGGACGTGTCGAAAGAAAGCATCGACATATTTTAAACGTGGCTCGATCTTTACTGTTTCAAGCAAGTTTACCTGTTAAATTCTGGGGTGAGGCAGTGTTAACAGCAGCACATGTTATCAATCGAACTCCTACTTCGATTCATAAGGGTCGTTCCCCTTATGAACTTTTGTTTGGCTCAAAACCCAGCTACGATCAGTTAAAAGTCTTTGGTTCCTCATGTTACACACATGTTCGCTCTCGAGACAAAGACAAGTTTGGAGAGCGCAGTAGACATTGCATCTTTGTGGGTTATCCATTTGGCAAGAAAGAGTGGCGAGTTTATGATCTTGAAACAGAGGAGTTTGTTGTGTCCCGTGATGTGGTGTTTCAGGAAGATGTGTTTCCATTTCGTGATACGCAACGTGACGTAGAGGGAAGAGTTTCTAGTTCACCTACATTTGTAGATGATGATTGGAATATAGTCACTAACTTGGAAGATACTACCGTGGAAGACAGGGGGAGTAACTTAGAAGACAGGGGGAGTAGTGAAACATCGATTGTTTCTCCACCGACATCAGATTCCTTAGCTATTGTACGTGTGTCACACAACGAGACATTTGTCTCAGAACCTGCAACACCTGTGTCACACACGATACAACCTGTGTCACACACTACACCGTCTGTATCTCCAGCTGCTCCTGAAACATCGATTATTTCCCTTGACTCTGTCTCTCCAACTCCACAAGACCCTATTTCCACGGATGAGAGTGTGGATCCTCCTTTGGGTCGGGGACAACGTCCAAAAGCACCTCCAAAGAGTCTTGCTGATTACTTGGTTTACAATGTGAGTTGCATCGATAATACACATCCCGTTCTCTCCGACTCTGAGTTTGTGTCTCCGAAAATGGTCCCAGGTAACACACCATATCTTCTTGAAAATTTTATCTCTGACGCTTTGTTCTCTCCTGGTCATCAAGCTTTTCTTGCTGCGATCATAGCCGGCAAAGTACCTAAGAATTACCGAGAAGCATTGCTAGATAAAATATGGTGCGATGCAATGGTGAAGGAGGTGGATGCTTGTGAACTCACTAAGACTTGGAGTATTATTGATTTACCACCTGGCAAGGTTGCTCTTGGAAACAGTTGGGTGTATACACTCAAATACAATGCTGATGGCACTCTTGAACGTCACAAAGCTAGGTTGGTTGTTCTTGGAAATCACCAGGTAGAGGGAGAAGATTTTACTGAGACATTTGCTCCTGTGGCTAAGATGACTACACTGCGTAGCTTGCTGAAAATTATTGCTGCAAACAATTGGGAAGTTCATCAGATGGATGTGCATAATGCTTTTCTTCGCGGTGATCTTGATGAAGAAGTATATATGAAGCTTTCGTTGGGCTTTCGTCATAAAGATCCAAACAAAGTGTGTCGCTTACACAAGTCGTTGTATGGACTTAAACAAGCACCTCGTTGTTGGTTTGCTAAACTCACTACAGCTTTGAAAGAGGTTGGTTTTGTTCAGTCTTACTCCGACTACTCTTTATTTATCTACTCGAAGAATAGTGTTGAGATTCGAGTTCTTATTTACGTGGATGATTTGTTGATTTGTGGAAATAAGTCGGCTGCTTTATCTAAGTTCAAGGAGTATTTGGGAGAGTGTTTTCGTATGAAGGATCTTGGTAGGATGAAATATTTTTTGGGCCTTGAAGTTGCTCGCAGTAACGAAGGGATATTTTTATCTCAACGAAAGTATACATTGGATATTGTTGCTGAGACGGGTCTTCTTGGTTCTAAACCGGTGTGCTTTCCTATGGAGGAGAAACACAATTTGGCAAGGGATACAAGTCCGTTCTTGGCTGATCCTTTACCATATCGACGACTTGTTGGTCGCCTCATTTATCTCCTCCTTACTCGACCAGATCTATCCTATTCGGTGCATATTCTTTCACAGTTCATGCATACTCCACGGGAAGCTCACTGGGAGGCAGCGTTACATGTTGTTCGGTTTCTCAAATACACCGCCGGCCAAGGGATTCTTTATAGTTCTAAACCGGACTTGACACCCACGGCTTATTGTGATTCTGATTATGCGGGCTGTCCTATGACGAGACGGTCATTAAGTGCTTATGTAATGTTTCTTGGAGGCTCACCCATCTCATGGAAAACACGAAAACAAGGGATTGTTTCTCGCTCATCCGCTGAAGCCGAATATCGCTCGATGCGTCTGGCTCTAGATGAAGTATTATCGCTTCGACAACTTCTTAAGGAACTTGGTTTTCCATTTACTGCACCGGTGCGACTGTTTTGTGATAGTGAAGCCGCCATCCACATTGCAGCGAATCCTGTGTTCCATGAACGGACAAAACACGTAGAAGCTGATTGTCATGCCGTTCGTGATGTTGTTCTTGATGGAACTATAGCTACTATACATGTTGGGACTACCGACCAGCTTGCAGATTTGCTCACCAAACCACTTGGTCGTCCGCAGTTTGAGAGTTTAGTGTCCAAGTTGAGCATTGTCAATTTGCATGCTCCAACTTGAGGGAAGTATTGGGCTATACTCATATACTAAGCTCATATGTCTAGGGTTTACGGTTAAACCGTCATATATATCGTATATATATCTTGTGTACAAAGTTGATAATCAAGAAGAAAGCATACATTCATTGAATTCTACATCTACTCGATCGAATTCAGTACATTTACATTCTCAAAGGATCCTCTTTTTTAAGATATAGTTTGCTCAAACATCAACTTCATTCGATTAATTTAATAGATTTTAATATAAATTTCAAATGAATTTCTTGTTGGCGATTATATAAAGCTGGGAAATTGCAAGTCGAGGATCTGTTCAATCAAAACCTTGATGATAATGAAAAACTAAAAATTAGTGTTACATTACATTCACGACTCAACACAGTCGTACAATAACAACACCAAACAAATGAATAGATGTTACAATGGGAAAATAACAGAGACAAACAAAATGACAAGTTGCACAAGGCACATTCACTATCTTTCAGCTCCTAAAGACTTTTGCGAGTTTCATGGACAAGATTGGTTTAATTAATAGGAACTTGTAAGATCAATTGTAAATTATCCATCTTCACATATTCTAAAGTGGGATTAACACTCGCGCCAGATCATAGATCATTGTCAAATGATTTGCGGTAATCCAGGTATTCGCGTACAACACTGGTAAGAAAGAACCAAAATTTTGTAACATAGGCATATAAAACAAGTTGAAACTTTTTCAGACAAAACAAAAAAGCTCGATTATAAGCTACATCATTGTTTTGAGTGAAGTTCTTTGGAAGATGAGGTAGACAATCAAGAATCACTTGAAAATGAAAGGCGGTTAAGCGTAGCAGTGATGCTATCGAAACCAATCATAGCTATTCAGTTCAAATGCTTAACAATGCAAGTAGAGGCTCCTGTTGTAGTTTGCCCCTCATTGTAAACACACAACACTCAAATTCCAAGAACATACAAATACATTTTCCTTCCTACAAGGTTCACATCTTTACAAAAACAATCTTTTCGCCGATTAAATAAGCCATTCCTAGGATAAACCCTTCTGCCAAAATCTGTTATTCATATACTTACATAAAAGCTCAACAGATATTGGTAATCATCAGAATTCTTCAGGGAGAGGATGACCATCCAAGAACGCCTTGAACAGCACAAGTGATCTCTCAGGCTGTGAGAATGGGACCTCGTGTGAAGCTCCTCGCACCGTTGCAAATGACAAGACATTTCCATAGACTTGAGTCCACCCACCGACCTGAAACACCAAACCAAATGTGTTAGTTTTTGTTTTTTCATCTTTCTTTTCTTTTACCATTAAGAGAATGTTGCTTGTTTCTTATTACCTGTTGTCCTGCAAACCATACTCGATAAGGCACACTTGTTCTCAGTCCCAAACGTTTGGCCAATCTGCTAACTAAGCTTCTACTTCCAGTCAATGGGATCACAGAATCTTGATCTCCACTGTTCTTGCAAGAAAAGCAACCACCGTTATTAAATAATCAAGACTCAAGACAAATAAAAGCTTAACATAGAGACATTGATAAATATAACACCTATAGACAAGAACTGGGACTCCAGCTTGAACAAGGTTCCCTACGATATTGATCGTTGGTTTCTCCACATCAAGCAATTCGTAATCAAGCACACTGTTGAAAATCACATTTTGTTCATTAACTTCTAACATCAATAGCAATCATCTGCAAACTGTTGGAGAAGAAAGTGATCACTAACTTGCTGCAAACTGTCCATTCACGTACTCCGACGAGCCGAGCATGAAGAGCTGCCTGCACATCTCTTCTGTTTAGATAACTCACTGTCTCATCTTCCAAACAGACATCCACAGACTCTCCAACTTGCTGCTCATTCCAAAGAAATCAACAAGTTTATAAACAGACACAGAGCAAGTAACCAAAGCCCTAATATTTATGTTTGTTGTGTGACTCACGTTAGGGCTTACGACTTTGGATTGAGATAGCACAGAGGGAATGCAGACGTCGAGAGTGACATCATACTTGTCCACAAAGCGACTAGTCTCAGTGCTAACTTGGCTCATCACTTTAGAGCACATACTAGACATTGACCCTCTATAGTACTCACTCACATAGCGTGAGTAGTTACAGTAAGATGTGAACATTTTGTAAGTTGAATCCGATATCAAGCCATGAGACCAGAAGTACTCAGCTCTTGAATTGAAATCGGTCGAAAACTCCAGAACCGGATTGCCAATCTAACAACAAAACCGGATTAAAGACAGGATCACATATAACCATATTGAAATGAGATAAAGTTTTATTTTTTACTTACAGCAATGCCTCTGAGATTGAACAAATGGTGCTTCTTGTTGTACTGAATCATAAGCTCAGCTAATTGGGGAACATAATGGCCTACATTTGCATTGAAACTTTAGCCACAAAGACTACAGCATAAGAGCATGAAGTGACTGAAAGAAGAGAGGTATTTTTTTACCAGCATAGCTTTCACCAGTGATGAAGAGACTTCGATTGAGATAGTGTGGGAATTTGAGGAACCATCTTTGCAAGAACACAAGGTTGTCTTTTGCTGGAAGTTGAGAAAAGACAAAAACAGAGAAAGGATGTTTGAGATGTGAAGACAAACAGAAAGAAACAAGAAGAAGAGAATAATAATCTCGTCAGATGTGATCTGCAAAAAAGGTTGAATTCTTTTGTTCCTTTTGTCAGTCTTGAGACAGAACAAGAAACAAAAGCTGGAATTTTTAAACTTTTTTTTCTCTAAGGAAATATAAATATTATTCGCTTTCCTGTAAAAAGGAGAACAAAACAGAGAAATGGCATTCACAGGTCACTGCATCACCATCACCATCATCATCATCATCACAATAACAAAAAAATTGTAATTATTAAATCGAAAACTTAGAAAACCAAAGCTTTTATACCCTTTTTCTGTAAAAGATGTCTTTTTATTTTTATGGTGGTTACAAAATCGTCCTTTTGATTTTATTTTAGTTTCTGTTGCTAAATTTAGAAAAAGGAAACCAAAAAAAAGACACAAAAGTATGAGCTTATGCAATGTCTAAGTCAATAGATCCAGCGAAATTAGTTTGCAGTGTAAAAATCATTTATTTTCAAACAAGAATTGGAAATTCAAAAATAGAAACTTGATTTAAATTAACAAAAACCAAATTAAGAAGAGAAAGAGGGTTTTAGAGAGATTAACCAGTGATCTTATCATTAACACCCTCATAAGAGGAGCTCTGAGTGGAATAAGAGAATCCAACTCCAACAGGTGTCTCTAGATACAACATATTAGCCTCTGCAACAACCAATAAAAAAACAAAATCAAGAACATATAAAATCTTGAAAATGTGGAACTGCAGATGCTTAATTTTTAATTACCTTGGTTCCAGCTATGTTGATTCTTGACCAAAATCGAGCCTTTTGGTCTAAATGGTCCGTTCTCCGAGAATGCACCAACACCCAAAGATGAACATCCAGGTCCTCCATTGAGCCAGAGGACGAGAGGCTTAGAGGCTGGATCGGTTTCAGCCTCGGCGAAGTAGTAGAACAGAGCTCTCTGTTTTCTGTCGTCGACGGTGACGTAACCAGAGTACTGCTGGAATCCGACCCGGGGTTGACCGGGTAAACGGGTGACCCGATCGGAGTGGGAAGAGGATTGGAGAGAGTGGAAGAGGATAAGGGCAAAGGAGATGGTTAGGCATTGGAGAGGAGACATGATGTGTCACTTCTTTTGGTTTGATTTCTCAGTCACTCACTGCCGAGAAGAAAGGAAGAGGAGACAAGTGATGACTTTGGTCTTTGTTTTCCCACTTGCTGCTTTGCATTTATATCAAGATTCACCTTTTTTCTATGTACTCTTTCTTGTTTATTATTTTTGTTTTCTTCAAAAATATGATTTCTATTTTAACATATACTTTATTTTATTCGTTCATCGTCTTGTGAGGAAATTGTAAAATAGAAAAATAAATTCAATTTGTTTCATTTACAAATAACATAAAACTGCAAACAATAAGTGAACCAATTGTGTTTTCCAAAAACATAGCATAGTTTTTTTGGAAAGTTGGTTTTTTTTTTTCGTAAAGATCGTAAACACATACTGTATGGACCATAAACAGATGGGTTCTAACCACAGATTTTGGCAACCCAGTCAACCATAGTCTGGGTATTTTGTTTTTATAGTTGTGTAATACGTCATTTTATTATTTTGCTATCAAGCTTATTTATATTTGGATTCGACCGTTGTAAATAACTAAGTTAACTAAATTCATCTTTTTATTCGTAATCCTAATAATAATACACTCGAACTGAAATTAGAGATTACACTCGAACTTAGTGTTTTGAACTTTAGATATCTTTTTATTCGTAATCCTAATAATACACTCGAACTTAGAATTTTGAACTTTAGATATTTTATTTCTCTATATGGTTGATTGGGTTATTGAAAAAAAAAATACAATTTGATGGTGTTATCCTAGAATAAAATATCAAATGTGGACCAAGGCACTTTCTACTGAAGGTTTGAATCCAATTATGTATTAATCGGGAGAAATTTCACATTTCCAATAATGTTAGTAGTCCAAAAGTCCATCACTATCATTAGTGTTTAAAAAAAGAGATAAAAGTAGATCAATAAGAGGGGAAGATATATCTAAAAAAAGAAACTAAACAACTAGTTGGTGACACTGAAATTAAATCGATAAATAGAGATTGGTTATTAATTAACAAATAGTATTAGTACAAAACTGTTAGTTTTGATGATGTTAGCAGGCAAGGGAGTGGAGAGCAAATGGAGCAAGCGTGAAGCGTGGCTGGACTTCACTCAACCAACTCCCACCCCTCAACCAAAAAGCATCTTTCCTCCATTGATATGTTCTTCTCTTTTGTCAACTTAGATTCTATGTTTATAAATATCAAATATTACAAAAAATGAACATTTTTTATTTATTCCTGATACATTTTATGATGTGATCTCACAAATTTATAAAGCAAAGACAATAATAAAACTATAACTTTTGTC